ACAGCATCGCCCAATTCGGCGAAGTTTGCCGTTCGCCGGTATTGTATTTCAAGCATGAAACGCCGCCAAGCGAACTTCGCATTTCGCTTTTGCTGTGTTCAATTTCATATGCGTGCGGGTGTTCTAATTTTGACAGCGCGAATTTCGCTGTGGTGAGTTCGCCGTTCGCCGGCATTGTATTTCAGCTATAAGGTTCTTCCTCTTCTTTTATGTCAAATTCATACAAATTCATAATGTCGCTGCCGCGTTCAAAAAAATCATGTCGCCATTGACAAAGCGATAACGAAGATAAATTGGAAACTGTGGCCCGTAGCTCGTCGTTTACAATGTGTTTAGCTTTAGGCTTCTAAAAGGAGTGAAACACTCCGATCGGAGTGAAAACGGCAACGCTGCCCAAAAATATCGTTCAAACACCTCCCATCGTAGACAAAGAGATTCACGAAGAAATCTGCGAAACTTCGACACAAGAAAGATCTGGATATTGGGGCAGACTGAACTCGTACCTATCCAGACTCGACCACGACTTGTACGACATCTGTCACCTCTTCATTTGACCCGTCTAAAGCCTGATATATAGTTCAATGCGAGCGTGAGCGTGAGTTTTTTATTTTGACCAATATCTTCGATATTACTCAACTTTTTGATATAGTTGAGACATAAAAAGATAGAGAATTAAAATATCTTTCAGAATTATATAATAAAAACTAATTTAAAATGCATAATATGCCTTTTTTCGAACTCACACTCAACTGTGTGCATACGCAATGCTTTCGCATGTGAACGGCAAGTTTTGACGGATGTGGCATTTTAAATTAGTTTTTATTCTATAATTCTGAAGTATATTTTAATTTTATATCTTTTCATGTCTCAACTATAGGAAAAAGTTGAGTAATAACGAAGATATTGGTCAAAATAAAAAAACTCACGCTCACGCTCGTATTGAACTGTATATCAGGCTTAACCCACTCTGCTGGCACTCCTCTCTCTGTGGTCATAACCTTTAAATCAGCAGGTTTCATATGCCTACCCTTAGTTGAGCCGAAGAACGTAGATAATCTAGAAGATAGATGAGATTTAGAATAATTTCGTTCTTTGGTTGATCATCAACGTATTTGCGGCAAGAATGGTAGAATACAAGGTATAAAATTTCCATGGAAAAATAATTAATAAATAAAGTATTATAAAGGTGAAGATTTTTGTGGAAGTATTAGTGAATTTCAAAATCGGGGAATCCAAAGTACCGGTACGCGGAATGCCGAACCTTTGTTCGTTACATCGTGTATTTGCAACACAAATTTTAAGTGCCTCCAAAAATGCGACTCTGTGGTTGGTGGATTTAGAAGTAAATTCACCATACTTGATACCTGTCAAACTGACAGTTAAAAAAACAAAAGAATTCGTCATCTGTTGAAAATTTTAATTGTTTATATTTTTTTGTTCAGCGAAGAAATAAATTATACAGCTGAATAATGCAAGATAATTGTCCCGAACTATACGAAGAGGTAAAACTTTATCGCAATGCACGTGAACGTGAAAAGTATGACAACATGGCAGATTTGTACGCCATCATCAACACGCTCCAACAGCTTGAGAAGGCGTACATTCGTGACTGCATCACTCCTCAAGAGTATACCGCTGCCTGTTCCAAGTATTTGGTGCAATACAAGGTCGCATTCAAGCAGGTGCAATGTGACGAGTATCCCAATGTTGACACATTTGTAAAGAAATTCAGACTGGACTGTCCGGCAGCTCTCGAGCGCATACGGGAGGACAGGCCAATCACAATACGAGATGACAAGGGAAATACATCTAAATGCATTGCGGAAATCGTGTCGTTATTCATTACTATCATGGACAAACTGCGTCTGAAAATGAATACAATGGATGCTTTACAGCCAGATGTAAAAGATTTAGCAGATAACATGAATAGGTTGTCATTAATACCGAAAGATTTTGAAGCTAAGCAAAAAGTTGAAACTTGGTTAAGCACATTAAACGATATGCAGGCTTCAGACGAGTTATCAGAAGGACAAGTGCGTCAATTTCTTTTTGATCTGGAATCGTCATACGGAGACTTTACTAAACTGTTACACAGCCAGTAGTCAATCAGTCATTATGGGGAATGAAATTAAATATACATAAGCGTACATACCTAAGTTAATCTCGTAGATTTTAGTAAAAAAAAAATATTTTGTGTTCGGAATTCTGTGTGAACGATCGATTGCTTATATACTTTCGTTAAGCCGCTTATTGTAATTCAAAAAATATATCTTACAAAAACGATATGTAATAAATACTATACTAATTTATTTAAATAAGGGATATTCTCAGAGCCTTGCAAAGGCATTGTACGGTAAAAACAGGTTTTCCTATGGGACAACTTTACAAACCGTGCACCGTTCAAGGACTTTGCAAGACTGCCAAAAAATACCCCTATACTTTTTATTGTTTACATATGAAATATATATACTTAAAATATGCTTCCGCCAAAATGATTCACTGATGAAGTGCCGAGGTTCATAAAGCAACCTCTTTACCCGACAGCTTGCCGACAGCACATTAACGGCATTCATAGGAAGTCGGGTTGACCTACACTCACTCGCGTCCTGTGATTACCGTTTTGGGAACACAACCAGCAGACGTGGACGAGACAGAGCTTCGTCTGCTTCGGGATACTCGGACCACAATAGCCCAATAACTACTGCCTCAGGTAAAACTCGTACCTGAGCAGATTAGATGCGAATACGCCCAAGGGGTGGCCGGCATGTGGAGAGACTCGAGACAGACCCTATAGAAGTCGCACGCTTCCTGGGTTTCCCCGTTAGTTGTGCTCGACGAGAACGATTGAGGGACTAGCCGATCTGGGCGGCGTTGTTGTAGCCGAAAATTTGCAACACTGTTGCAACTACCCAACTGATATGCGTTGCCAGAAATTCCTACCGAACGTGATACTTTAATAATTCGTGAAATACTGCGGTTGTGATTGCATCTCGAACCAGCCCATTACACTAATGTTGCGCTTCAGACTGTCATACTCACTTTTCGATCATGGAATCAAACACTCGTCAATCCATCTTTTACTGGCATCAACTTCACATTATTTCTTTTCTTTTGGCCCAGTAACACGACAATAAGATACTGACCTCACAAGGGACCTTCTGCCATTTCCGTGTAGGTTCCATCCATTTCATGATGCTTTCATACGATGCTGTGTGCCGGCTTTGGCTGTCAACAATATTTTTTTTAAATACTGATGGGAAAGAGCATAAAAGATTCCGCGAAACAATGAAACTATAAGCACATACAACAAGAAAGTATTTTAACTACAAATTTTGAGTCCTCCAAAATTTTATATTATCGTTGCTTTATCTAATTTAAAGGAAACCCCTAACATCTCATGTTCTGAAATGAAGGACACAAAGCTCAATTTTAAATTTCGACTTCACCGCGCATGCGTATGAACTATGCGTTTGCTGTGTTTATTTTGGATTTAATCGTATTTTGTATTTAATTTAAATATTAAGGTTATTATAATTATACATATAGTTTAAACCGATTACAATATTTAAATTTTAATTTTTATTTATATATTTCTTCCTTTCAACTCTGTCGTGTATGTGTGTGTGTGTGTGGTCTTCTATCTTCATTTCTCCGCTACAGTTTTCTTTTTCTTATTAAACACTCTTTTTGCTTCGTAATAGCATTATATAATATTTATTTTAATTAGCTTTGTAATTTCTTTAGTGTAAGTTTTACGGTTGTATGAATGTGGGTGGTGGTATATGGGTGTGGTTTTTATGGGTTTAAATATGTTTTTTTTTTTTTATCTTTTACCGCAGGACCGACGGGAAAGAACATACAAAATTTTAATTCGTCGCTTTTTCGCCCGTTTCTATTCTATTCTATTTTTTTATACTAATGTACCATACATAAGCATCAATACATTCGTATAAAGGAAAACTATAGGACCGGCAGACAGACAATGTGAAAAGTAAAAGAAGTACGTATGTGTATGTGTGTGTGGTTATGGTTGTGTGCACGCAATTGCTTCGCAGCTGGAACCGATTTATAGAGCTGATTGGATTATGTTGTTACTAAATCGGAATCGAGTTTCTTATTAACATATACATATAATATTTATATATATATGTGTATGCATTAATGTGTTTGTAGCAACGCCTTCCTTTTCACATTCAATTCTGTCCAGTCCAATAAGAGGGTGAGTAGCCTTGTTTAGCAGCCGATTTCGATTGGCTACTTGTCTGTTGGCGCTGGCCCGTGCTATTCGAATCCTATAAGAACCAAAAATATGTTGTTTTATTATTTACATTTTATATAATTAATAACACTTAGTATTTATGTAAATGGAAAATTTTAATATTATTAAGAAGTGCATATACAAAAATGTCTTTAAAATGGCAAATGTTTATATAGATATACGCACAAATACGGATGTATCAAGTAAGTATGTGCAAGGTATGCGTTCTTAGCTGTTTTTTGCTTATTGCTTGTATCTAAAAACATTTGATTTCAGTAAAGAATTGCCTACAGTATGTTTCTAAGAGCCCCAAATCGCGCAATTTGAGTACTATTTTGAATTTCAACTGAAATTGCGAGACGTTTACTAGTAGTTTGGCAATAGAAAAAAATGTATGAGTCTTAATTTAGAAAATTTTGATTTTCAACCCTTCGGTTATATTAAGGTAATTTCGAGGCCTTTTTGTCAATATTTTCTAAACTGAAAAAAATTGCATAAAATAACTTTGTGCCATCCTGCAAGATTAGGGCATAAATTGAAATTTTGAAAAAACCAATACAGTGCCGGACAAAAGTATTGGCACAGTGAATTTTTCGCAATATAAGCAAAGTTTTTTTATTTTAATTTATTTTCGATAAATTTTTATAAAAATATGGTTCATTGTACACCAATAAACATATAAATAGTATATCTTAACTTTGAGCAAAACTCAGGAAAATTCAATAAATTTGCAACTTTCTATTAAGATCTTTTAGAAAAATTCTAAGTATGCAGTTTTGTAGCCATTCAAAGTGAAAGTTTTTAGTTGCTAGAAAATCGCGTTGAATCTTTGAAATTTTTTTCACGCAGGTTTTTCTATACAAAGTATGTTCGACAATAATTTTTTGTATGCAATACCTTCCACTAACTTTAAAAATTTCCAAACAACGCGATTTTCTAGCAACTCCAACTTGCCCTTTGTTAGAATAAAATATAATGGGCTAAACAACTGCATACTTAGAATTTTTATTTAAAAAAATCTGATTTGAAATATGCAAATTAGTACGCCATTTTATTGAATTTGCACAGTTTAAGGATTTTATTGTTTGTGTTTTGTTGTATGTAGTAAGACTAGATTTTAATAAAAAATTGGCAAAAAGCAATAATAATAAAAAACTTTGCATCATTGCGAAAATTTTTCGGTGCCAATACTTATGTCCGGCACTGTATGTGTCTATTGTAAGAGAAATAATTCGAAAACCTACGTGAGTTTGATATTTTTATGATTGTACCAAGGCACATTAAACAGGTAGTATCAGTAGAGCAAAAACAACATTTGCGTGTATTTTGTTGTTGCTTCTGGTATCGAAAGTGTCAAAAACTGTTCTGAATTTTTTCTTCTAAATCAAAGCGTGCCATGTGAAATACAAAAAATTATAAAAAATAAAAAATTGAAATTGGAAAAAATAAAAATTGATGTAACTTTCTTTCCTAGTAAATTTGTTTGCTTCTCGAAGCATTGAACCATCCTTTGCAAGGCCCAGTAATCAGCGGTTGTGCTGCTGAGTTGGGCGAACGTTCCAAAAGCTGCTATTCAATCGCTTGTTTTGTATGGAAAAAGGTTTCACATGCAAATGTATTTTAACAATTCAGAATTTTTGTGAGAAAAAATTAAAAATATTTGACATTTTGGAGACCAAATAATTTGAAAATAAATCAAATCAGCTGCTCTACTGATACTACCTGTTCAATGTACCTTGGAATGTACCAGCATGCTGGTGTAGTGTATGGTGAAAGTAGTTCATTTTTTTTTCAAGTCGTCAACCACTAAACAGTTTGCGTCACTATGAATTCTATAAAGAAAGTATTTTGGCGAAAATTCCTTGCACTATATGAGTCAAAGGCTTGTTTTTCGAAGATTAAAAGTTCATAATATTACAAATGTGAATTAAAAAAACAATTGAGCGATTCACAACGGTGTCGTAAGTGTCGTATTGTTGTATGTCGTAAACTTTAAAAGCTTAAATAAATGTTTAGAGAACTTGAAACCGCAACCAACTATTTTTTAGCACTACAAAAAAATCATAATATGACATATGTTGGTACTTTGCGAACTCCCTTAATATATTTCTTAGGCGTTTAAAGTTTACGACATACAACAATACGACACTTACGACACCGTTGTGAATACCCCAAATGTTAAAACAAAATGGTAAGAAAATTAACAAACTTCGGCTCTATTCATTTCTATATCGAACGTAACTCGAAGCGAAATTTAATTTTTAGATCGCTAGTCGATAGCGAGTGTGCTTCGCCCATTTAAATTGTATTGTATTGTTCGATTTGAAACGAGTAATCACTCGTATACGAATGCCGCGATTCGGACCCTTATGTCGTGTATTCCCCCTTTCAGTTTTGCTTTGTGGTGCAGAGGGCAAAATAAAACAAAAATTGCTTTACATACTTCAAACATACATAATATCGCTACCTAAAGGGGAAAAGGTGCCAAGTCTACATTTTTTCAAAGTTTAGTTTTAGATGCAAAACTACATCGATTTTTCGTCTCTCCTGAATAATTTGAAAAAATGGACTTGGCACCTTTAACCGGCCGTCTTCTCATGCTTAAAAATCTCGCTTGCGTTCTGCTTTTTTTTATCGCAAGCGAGATAAGAGTTTTATCGACTGGACATTTGACAGCATACTTTTTCATTTGTAAAATGTCGCCAAAAAGGAATGTTCGAGCTTTGCAGGCTAAATTTATATTTTCCACCAAAATAAACGATGTTGCTACTATGAAGAATTCTGCGAAATGAGAAAATACCTGTCATACAACAAAAATGATAGTTGAAGGCATGCGAGAGCTCGTGAAAAGCTCGGTATGCCAGAAAAAGCATGCTTCGTACTTTCTGCGGCTTACACGTGCGGAATCTCGCATGCGTCGTCACGTAGGCAAGATTTCCCAGCACGTGAAGATGGCCGGTTAGGTGACGATATGTTTTTAGCATAAACATAAACTTCTTTTCTTTGGAAATAATGACTAATTTTAACGTACTCTTATATCACAGACGGGTTAAGCAAGAAGAATTAATGGAAAAAAGATCAAACTAAAATAATCTAAAGAAAATTTCGTTAAAAGCAAGATGAAACAGATTTTAGAAAATCAGTTGAACTTTTATTTCGAACTTGCCAAAAAATTAGCGGATAACAAAATCATAAGCTGTACGGTGACAGAATTAGTTATTGAATATTATAAATGTGAAAGTTTGTGAGTGAGTATGTTTGTTGTTCTTCACGCTAAAACGTCTGGATATATTTCAATTAAATTTGGGAATACGGATAGTTTATATCCTGGCTTAACATATAAAATATTTTTTTGAAGAGAGTTGGCACCTCTTTCAAAGTTAAAATCGATTAAAAACAAGCTTAACAAAATATTACAGCAATGTGGGTGTCAAACGAAAGCGGTTCAGAAACTTTATATTGCGAAAGTCTTTTTTTAAGAGGGTTACCACCTGTTAAAAAAGTAAAAGTCAATTAATTGATAACTATTAAAAAGTTTAAACGAAATATTTTAATGTGGCTATCAAATGAAATAGGCAAAATGCTTTATAGTGGAAATATTTTTAGAGGGTTGCCATTTTTTCATAAAGTTAAAATCAATTTGTAACACGTTAAATAAAATATTATGTGTGTCAAACCAGTGAGCGTTAAGAAAGCTTTATTTCGAAAATATTTTTGAATAGGGTTGCTACATTTTCAAAAACAAGTTAACCGTTCCTCCTTTTCAAAATCGAAATACTTATTCTGGAAAATGCGAATTGGAAAATCGCAGAGATGGTTGGAGTATTATTAAGAACATTTTGGTCATTATTTGTGTATTCAGTACTTTGAATCAACATAATGGGCCATATGCATAAAAACTACGCAATTGCTTTTACTTAAAATTTCATATCTTTCACTTAAATTTATTTGAACAAATCGAGTAAAAAATTTGAAATTTTAAGCAAAAGCATTTGCTTAGGTTTTGTGCATACGGCCCAATATATTACATATTATGTAGCGAGAACATGGATAAATTTGTGAACCGAGATCTATTCCCAAAAAATTACTGATTGTTGAGAGTTTACCTAAAGGCGAATTCAAACAAGGTGGTATTACCGAAGCAGCTGAATTCAAGACGAATTGCACCGATTGTCAAAATTACGTGATTTTTGTATATTCTTTTGGGTTCTGATTGTCATCGTGCGTTTAATTTGCTATTGTAATTTTTTTGTTTTTATGCTGCCGCTATCACCGTGTATGAATTCGCCTTGGGTAGGTTTGTATGCAGAATTTTTCGGTGGTGGCGTCGCACAGTGTATGATTTTGGAAAAAGTACAAAATCAAATATCTCGAGAACGAAAAGAGATACCGAAACAAGTGTAACGGTATTTTCAATTCAACACTTTCAAGCTGTTGAGATGCAGAATTAAGGAAAAATAGACTCGTTGGATAAAGAGTTACCTTGACCTTCAAGTTTAGAGTACGATTTTGCACAAGAAGGCACAAAATCAAATATCTCAAGAACGAGAAGAGATGGCGAAACAAATGTAACGATGTTTTTAAGCTTTTCAGATGCAGAGTTCAGTACAAATAGGCTCAAATATAGTAGGAAATAAATGTAACGGTATCTTAAAGCTTTTGAGATGGATGAAAGAGTTACTTGGACCTTCAAATATAATAGGTTTTCTATATTTTTTTCTTTCGTTTTTTGACCTGAATCCAGATGCAATGCACTTTTTAAGAGTTTTGAACACATATTTTTGCTGTTCTTGCGAAATATTTGGAGCATTTGTTTCTTTTGTGAAATCAGAATTCAAAGATATTTTTGGTAGACAACTTGCTACGTGAAAATGTTGAAGAAATTCTTGATACCCTCTGTTTGTTAAAACAAAAAGCACCATTTCTTGAAATTTGTTGGGCAAAAAATAAGCGGTGTTTTTTCTTACTTTCAAAGACTATAAGATTTTTCGGGACTCTGTTATATGTATGTCTTGGCAATTTTCGGGTTTATTCGAGACTTTCGGAATTTTTCAGAAGTTTACACGCATATTTAAACCTTGGCTTTTGGGTTTTTAAATGCTCAAAAAATTTAACTAACGGGTGTTCTGCTCAAAAAGTATTAAAAGGAAAATTTTGCTTTGAATAAATATAGAAAATTATGGAATTTTTTTCCTCTAATTAATAAATAGCGATGACTTTCGAAAAACTCTTTGCTTTGTTATTATAAAGTGGATACATACTTGATAGTAGTGTCTGTGATACAAGCGCCTAATAAATCACTTCTATACTAATTATAATCTAACATCCAAATTCATAAAAAATAATACTTTATAAATCGAAAATTTGTACGAAAATGTCTTTCGATAGGTATATTTTATTTTTTATGAATAAGGCCACACGATTTTGCCTTTTTTAAATCTAAAATTTTTAACACCTGAGAGGTTACGCGATATGATTTTTGTAAAAGGAAAAATTTGCACAGATTCTTTAACTTTTTTGGTTATAAATAAATGCATTTCGAGTTCATGTAATATGAAGGGAATTACTGAAATATAATGAATTTAAAAAAGGTGTATTTGTGACAACGATTATGCTGATAGGTAGGCATAGTTACATATATATGTATATGTATACATATGTATATGTTTGTTCGAACGCGTTAAATTGAAATAAAAAAATAACAAAAGTTGAAAGAGGAAAATATTATAAAGTTATATACTAAGTACATACTATGTAGTTTAACTGATATTCTAAAAACTTACCCGGCGGGATGAATTATGAATCCTGCCGTCCATCTAATGTTGTCCCATAAAAAACCAAAAGAAATAATAAAATAATAAAAAAGTTTTTTCCATGCATTTTTTCATTTACATATGTACTGTACTTAATAGAAACAGTGAGCGTGAATATATTTTTGATTTTAGCTTTTGATTATTACTTATACGATTACGAACATATTTTAAATGTAGGTACTTATTGTGCTACAAAAATTGGCTGTTACTTCAATTGATTTAATATAACCTGAATGATGAAGGTTCATGGAAAAATTAGCACATTCAGAGTGTTTGAAAAGTCAAGATGTATTAAGTTAAATTGAAAAGTTATTGGCATACATTCTTCGCGTTAAAACGATATGATTTCGGTTTTTAAAATTCTTAAGCGTTATTGTTATTGTTTCTTATTAATAGTAGTTTGTTAATAGGATAACCTATAAAATGCAGAATAGAACGACGACTCACAGCAACTGAAATTGTGTGTTTTCAATCTCTTTTCTCAGGTAGTAAGTATTCAGAAGACTTGAAAGCTCAAAAGAAACGTTATAGGTATTCACACCTCCCTTGTTATAAGGTTAATTGGTTAGAGACTACATAGATCAGCAATTTTCAGACTCCAAAACAATTTTTTGCGATTGAAAGTACAATATTGGGTCCGCCATTTGGAATTGGCATTGTTTAAATAATTGGAATTGAAAAAATTAAGAAGATTTTAGAGATAAAATTTTTGACAATATTCAGCGCAAAAAATTTTATAGGAAATAGATGGTCCAGGTTTTGCGCCTGAAAATTGTTGGCCTTGTTATTGATAATTATAAGAAATTATGGGGTTTTGGCGTTAGCGCACTCAAAAAATTTGCGAAATTGGGGTAATTGGAAGCGCCAAGTGACATTGAACTTGAAGGGGAAGCTGCTAGTTCTTGTTGAAAAAATTGCCAGCAAGAAAAAAGAGCGCGTCAGACGTGACTATATTTCCTACTTTCCAATGCAATTGGCTGTTGCATTGACAAAGATAAATTTTATTTTCACGTGTGAACAGCCTGAATGATCTTTTTGTCACTTTCCGGAAATCAGTCTAAGAAATAAAATTTCCAAGTTATGGCTGCAACTGAAAGATCGTAAGCTGATTTCCAAAATACATGTATGGGTGCATTCCAAAACGTCAAAATACAAAGCATCTGGCTCTTTTCTAAACCTCGGCAGATTGTAAACAATGTCAAATGTGCGCAACCACCGTTATATACTAATTTTCAAGCCCAAGTTTTAGACTTTTTCTAGTTTCGCGCGGGAGTTGAATTTCTTGGCGTCCTCGTGTTGCGGAGATGACGGCTTCGCAATGAAGGTTGTTGATGCCCCCAAAGTATGCATCGCGGCTCAGTGGTGAATGAAGCTGTTGGTCGATATCTGCTTCTATATGACCGAGGTGTCTTCTTACGTGTCTTGGTGATGCAGCTCTCTATGTCAGACTGCAGTTTGAGTGGATTGTTCTGTCACAGGCTAGCAGGAACTGTTTTGACAGCAGCATATCTATTGTGTTTACACGGAGCATTGTAGTCTCGTCGTGTAGGTTTTTCTTCTAGTGCGGTTTAAAAATAAGAGACTGATGCTTTGTATTTTGAAAAATTTGTGGGAAATATTAAGGAAAATTTTGAATAAAATAGCGATAATGCTTGTAACCAATCATTTTTCGGAATTTAATTTTTAAGTTATTAACTGAAAATAAAGTTAATTATAACCAGGAGAAATAACAGTTGACCGGTAAAGCAGCTCACACTTTCATTTTACTATCGAGAAATATTTTGGATATAAATAAAATTTCGATCAGCTGAACATTAAACTTGCATGTTTGTGCAAATGTTGAAAATTTTTGTTTTTGTATTTGTTCGTTACTCTCCTCCAAGTTGTTGTTGATTAACTTTTATTTGAGATCTATTCGAACAGGCCAAATGTCCCCTATCTTTCTGATGAATAGTCAAGATTCATAATCATTCAAAATATATGTGTATATTAGAATGGTCCAAAAAGAGGAATGTTTGAATTTCAATGCCGCCATCCCCTAGGATTGTTCTATACCAAAAAAAATGTATCCCTACTTTTTTATTTTTAAATCAAAAAATATTATATATAAAAGCGTTCAAAGTGTTCCATGTATTTTGTATGGGGAAAAAACCGCTTTCCGTAGAAATGGTATAAAATTCTTGAAAATCAATATTTTTCGATCGGAAAACTGTGGTTCTCTTCAGGAGACTTCCAATATTAATATCTAATTATTTATTTAACTATGTTTTAATATTAAAGGTTTTTCATTGGCCCCCCCATTGTATTTTCTGGGGGTTTTGGCGAACCTATAAAATATAGTTACCAAGAAAAAATTGTTAAAGAAACAATTGGGTATTATTACTGGTAATCTCCTGAAGAGAAACAGATTGAAAAACATTGATTTTCAAGAATTCTACACCATTTCTACGAAAAGTTGTTTTTCTCCCATATAAAATATGTACATGGAAAACTTTCAACACTCCCCAATTTTTTTTTATTTCAAAATAAAAAAAGGTATATTTTTTTTGGTATAGAACAATCCTAGGGGATTAAAATTCCGACTTTACTTTTTCACATGCATTTTTGGACCACTTTAATGCATATATAATTCGTTCGTTATTCTCTCTCCCAATGGAACCAAATTCGAAACCAATTAGTTAATTCGACATACACAAATTTGGGAGCGAGTTACCTCAATTGCATATAATTCAGATTCAAAGCAAAAGAGAATAGAAAAAACCAAAATAAAGGACAGAAACTGAAGGGAAACAAGTCAAAAACAACGAAAAATTTCAAATCCAATCGAGGATATGTCGTGCAAACGGGGTAATTCGCAAAAGTTATTGAGAGAGCGAACAACGAAATTTGCGGTGCTCATGGGAACATCATATCGCTAGCTTAGATTGAAGCAAGAGAAATTAAAAATGCATCGTTTCTAAAAGGATTAAGGTACTTGAGTTATTTTTTCCCGTTTGTGTATTTATTTGAAAGGCAAATTTGGTAAATCTGGAAGACGCACAGAAAATTCGATAAGACCAAAACAATACGAAATATTTTAATCAAAATTTAAATATGCATTCGTATGAAGTTTTGCTTTGCTTTAAAACCGCACAATGTTGAATTCAAAATTTCACGTAATACTCTCAAGAACATCAATATAAGAAGTTTTTTCATCTTCTATAAAATTAAACTTCTCACTCCAAGCTATCGATACGATACATACGTAAATCCGTTAATGAGCAGTCAAATCGAAAAAGTCAATGAAAAGGTTAATCGCTTATGAGTGATCGATTAAGTAACTTTTGTATATATATAAAGATTCCCTAGTAAGGCTGGGATTTCTATTCGGATTATTTGACTATCCGAAAAATCCGGACATTCGAATATCTGACTAAAAAATCCGAGTATCCGGTTACACGAATATCAGGACATCCGGATAAAAAAAATGAATTCCCATTAACCGGATATCCGGATACCCGGATTTTCGAAAGTAAAAAAACAAAACATTTTTTTCTGTGTATTGATGAAGAGTTCTATTATTTCTTTTGCAACTCGACAGATTCTGATGCCAGTGGAAAATTTTACGAGTCCGTTCAACCCGTTCGATTTTTCTCGCAGAAGACGAAAACCAAACTAGGCACTTCGGCAGAGATGTGGTTTCCTGTAATTTCAAAAATTGGCAACTTGCTTGAAAAACCCAAAAAAACCAATAAGGTAAACTTAACTATATATGCCGCTTCTGTGGCATCTGGAAGCGATGTATTCACCTTAAACCACATGTGCACAGACAACAGAAGCCGTTTTCTGAAGTAGCCTTTAATTGTAAACCTAATTTTATATTTAAAGGTTGGATTAAAACTAAAGCAATATCTTAAGTTAAGCATTTCTATTATCGGTTTTTTACGTATGTATGTTTCAATTTAAAACCAATTATAAAATGCTTTACTTTAGACACAATCATAAATTTTAATGCAAACTTTAAATATAAAGTGAGCTTTAAAGTTAAAGGTCACTTCAGAAAACGACCCTAAGCATGTAAACCCTTCGTTTTTCTTGAACTTCTTGACGATGAATTTTGAAACATTTAAAGTTCATTTTTTGTTTATTTGAAGCCGTTTCTTGTACACCACTAAAATGTATGAGCCTGTTCACACTTGGCTGGTTATAAGGTTATGTGGTTATCGGAGACCGAAAATAGCCGGGCCATTTATTGCTGTGTCACAAACTGTCATTTATTTCTTGTTATAAAAAATAAATCACTCACAATAACTTTTATAACAAGTTTTTGGCTTATCTGCGTTGGTTAGACTTTTGGTTGATTTGTTGTTTTTTTTACGTTTCGAATTGACCTTTTTTTTATAACAAGTGTTTGGCTTATCTGCGTTGGTTAGACTTTTGGTTGATTTGCTTGGTTTTTCACGCTTCGAATTGACCTTTTGTTTGTTTTTGTTTTTTTTTTTTGTTTTAAATGCAACGTTATCCGAATAGTTATGTTAAAAGTAGAGAGTGAAGTGCTTCGGCAGTATGCTTCTAGTTTGTATAGTTTATTTATTGAAGGGAAGAAGATGGGCCAAAAATCAAGCGTTGAATTACGCAGCTTTTTTGACTTCGATACGAGTAGTGATCAAAAGTTTCAGTGTGTAATGTTTGAAAAAAAAAGTTTATTGCGGTGATCATTTCAGTGAATAAAAATAGTTTTACCTGCTATTCTTTATAGTTTGTTTTACTTCGTTGCATTTTCGTCATATATTTTCTCTGAATCATAATTAAATTTGCTAACTCGTTAACGATTCCATTTCTCACAGTCATTAACCGTAAGCTCCCTCGCATAAAACGCTTTCACAGTGATATATCACAAAAAGTAAAAATTAAATGGCTAATGATAGCAAAAATTACAATGTGTTCAATGTGGACCAGTTATTTTCGGTCTTTGGTGGTTATGTGGTTGTATTTTTTTATTCAGTTTACAACAAAAAAGTCACTACGCAATAATTTCTAACCAGATAACCAGGCAAGTGTGAACAACCTCTATGTATATATGTAAACAGATTTATTTAGTTTTTTCGTAAAATCTCAATTATGATAAATAGGCCTAAAACGAAAAGATTTAACGTCGATATATGTACTTCATTATATAATCGAAACAAACACACATAGCAGTTTCAGTCTTTTTCGACGTGAAATCAAAAGGTCTGTGAGACCCTTTACTCACAGCTACAGGTTAATAATGTTCTATTTAAAATTTCAAAAAAAACACAGGAAAGTTAATTTTGGTTTACCCAAAAACCGGTTTTCGGTTTTGATTTCTTTGAACCGAAATAAACACTGAATAATCGCAAACCGTTTTTATTTCAGAGGTTTGATTAAACGGTTACAAATTGGTCAGACCTGGCAAGGTAAACGCCACTACTAGGCTTACAAATTGTGCAAAGTTTTTTAATGGGGTTTAATTCAGGAATGTCAATCCTCTTTTTTATCACTATATTAATGTTATTGCTGAGGCTCAATTTTGGCTCCATTCCATAACATTTCAATAAGAAAAGTTGACTCATTTAGAGTGGAAGTCCGCAAGAGATTCAGAACGCACCGTTACACTCCCTCTCGACCCTGACACCAGAAGCGCTCTGGACCGCGCCCATCGACGCCGCCAGCTTTCTCGTCCTCAGGCTTACAGAGTCGGAGGAAGAGACGATGGATGATTCATGACAGAACCCGGGGGGTTGAGCACTGCTACAACAACAACAACACTCACAAAAACTCACTGCCTGGTTTGCTTTATAATCCGGTGGAATCATACCCTGTATTCTTTAAAAAAGACAACGGCGATCACGATACTCATTACCATTTCTCATCTGGGTCAACTGACGACAATTGGAAATGCCAAGTCCAAGAGTCAAGCCCTCTCTATTTGGCCTTTGTTACCAGCATCGTGATCTGCATTTCATACTTTCAGAGATGGAAGGCGGAGTATGTGTCCATTCATACGGCATGGCCGAGCCACCCAAAATCTTTCTCTTGAACACTCCAAGAGCCGCCGCAGCACATGTTTTCATTGCCCTCGCGTCTGCGCCATGCACCAGCATGGGCATGATGAATGACTTATAGTGATTTTTGTACGAAGAGAGCGGACTTAACTTCCCAATTGCCTTCCAAAGTAACACTGGTTGGAAGGAAGAATTCTCCGTTGGATTGGGTGTTAATGCTGGCTACTAAATAAACGAAGTCGTCTATTTTGAAGAACTTATAATTGTCACCGCAACGGGGATGCCAAAACGCGGACACCTTGTTTGTCTGATAGCAGGTGACTCTCGCTTTGTTGTCATTCATCACCAGACCCGCGCATTTTGCTTCTCTTTCTAACTCCGAGAAGGCAGAATAGATGTAGTCGGGTCTACGTAACTGGAACGATCCAAATTTTTATCTGGCCAAGGACTGTCACTCCAGCAACACTCCCCAAAAACTCTTAGGGGAATTTATATGCTGTTACAAAAACAACAACAATATCATCGGCATACGCCAGCATTTGTACGCCTTTGTAAAAAAAAAAACTAGCCCGAGCGTTACACACGAAAGGGAGTCACCTCGTCCTTCCTAATTCTGACGGAGCTGGTGTAATTGCTCAACGTAATTTTACAGTAGTTTAAGTTCCGCGGGTATACCAAATTCTGGCAGCGTGGCGTAATGGCACCTCCTTTTCGTGGTGTAAAAAATGGCTTAAAACTCCACAAACATATGGTGTGGCGGATGGTAAATACCTGGTCTATGGTGGATTTACCAGGCCTAAAGGCATACTGAGTAGAATGGATGTCGCAGATAATTATTGCCAGCAGAAAGTGGTGGCATATTACGAGGTCTATGAAGTTGCCATATTTCTCAGCATTTTAAGGCAAATTAAAAGACAAAGTTTTCAAATATTTTTTGAACTAAATAGCCGAAAAAATGCAAAAATTATCAGTTACCCTCTGTTTTAATAATATCAGCAAAATTGTGTTTAATTTCGCCTTAAAAATAAATAGTCAAAATGCGAGTCAAAATTTTACTAATGGCCCATTATGTATGGCGACTGATAGCTATAGATAGATATGATAGATGATAAATTGTTGAACACATTGAAGCAAAGTTGCCAATTACTTGCGAAAAGTTCATTTCAAAACGTGCACTTTTCTGTATACTGAGACTAATCGCTATACATACAAATTATGATACTTCTAGCCATGGCTACTAGACCAGCAACTAGACCCCAGTCGCCATACATATTGGGGCCATACATTTCTTTGCCTTTTATTAAAAAAATGCCTGCCTAGTACGGTCTCTGACTATTTTTTCCAATACTCATTTGAGTGATTTCTTAGTTTTTTAACACAACAGTTTGAGATTCAGCGATGAAATGGATAGGAGATATTAGAATTACTATGCATAGTTTCAAGTCTCGTAAAGCGTGGCCACTTCAATAGTATTTCACTTTTAATTTTAAGCCGCTCACAGCTCGTCGCTTTGCCGCTCATTGCGAGGCCTCGACCTTACCGAGTCCTAACTAAATGACTTCTCATATTTTTGAATTTGTACACACAAGAGTGCATTTTCTTTGAAAGATTAGAATTAACTGTACGTAGCGTGTTTATATACTTTATACTTAAGGAAGGCCAAGTGTGGTTATTAGTGTAAAATATGTAAATACAGATGTAGGGCGAAAGTAATCTAATAAAAGTTCCTTATATGTACATATGTATGTATGCATATGATTATTAGCATAGGTAAAGGAATTAGTGTGCAAGTAGGTATACCTAGTTTGTTTGATACATAAATATAGTATTAATACCTATTACATTACCTGATGGATTGGTTGATGAATCATATTGTGATGGCCTGCTGTCGGCATTGGCAAATACATGCCGTAGGGCTGAGCTGAGGTGCCACCAGCTGTTTGTGTATTCGGCATATTGAATGGTGGTGGAGTGCCCGAATGGAAATTTTGTTTCTCATATGACTGCGAATCAAAATAGAGTTCGACTAATAGTTTCAACATTCAAATGTTAGCTTATACACTTACATTGACCTTATTCAGCGCAACATGTCCCTTACCATACATGGACGATGTAATATCCGAACTCGTTCCAGTTTGAGGCGGATTGGCGACATTTTGCGACTTCGATTGCTGATTAACGCTCGACGGGTAAGCGCCCTTTGTATAGTCCTGCGAAGCTTGAGATAACGTATCATAACTGGTCGAACCATAACCAGTGTTGTATGAAGGTTTCGGGAATTGGCCACCCGACGCTGTATTAGCAGCTGGAATTTGCTGCTGCAAGTAAAAAAGGTTCAATATATTTTATTGTTATTTTTATAACTTTAAAATTGTTGGAAAAGTGTTATCAACATACCGGATAAATGGCCGGTGTGCCATACTGAAAACTGCCAGGCATAACATTACCGCTATAGAAGTAGTAAGGAACATTTAGCATTGGGCCGCTAGAGCCTGCTTGCTGTGACATTGTACTTGACACCTATATTGATATATAAAAATTAGGCAACCATACATTTGATATGGACTTTTACTTACGTTGCTAACTGGGCTAGAATTATTGTCCGTTCTAGTGAAACGCGCATCAGTCATGGTAGAATATGCTACAGAGCCCAAGTTATCGCGACCAGTGCCCAAACTGGTCGGAGTGTAGTTGAGATCGTAATATCCTTGCTGCAATCAAAACAAAAAATTGGTTTGAATGCATTTAAAAATTAAAGAGGGTTAGGCACAAAACTAGCGAAGAATGAAAATATAAACATTAAAATGAAACGGAGCTCATACAGTCACTCTTAACGATTAAATTTAAAATATATTTGGGGTGGTATGGTGGAGACATATGTACATGCATGCTGAACCCCTGATACATTTATCATTGAAACGCCGTTTTTGTTGTTCGATATCAATAAAAGTTGTTTGCCGCCAACAATATTCTTATGTGCTTCGTTTCATTTCATGCATTTTATTATTTACAAAAGAAATTGCGATGCAATAAAGGCAACATATTACAAATAAGCGTTGGGATGGAGTATTAGATTCACATAAATCATATGGGAGAAGGAAAACTGAAAAATGGATGGAGCGGTAACAAATTTAAATGGTTATCATTCACCCAAATTAGTTAAGAGTTGAGAACACTCTTTTTTAAATGCTTACAGAAATGGGTTTGGAAAGTTATGTGCGAGTAATAAGGCGCTGTGTGTAACGCATTCAAACTACATGCTTATTATAAGTTTAGTCCTCCACACTGAAGTTGCTACACACATAATATACAAATTTTAAAGCGGTCTCGTTATAGCCAATTTAAATTTGAATAGAATATCCAAATATGTAAATTAATTTGTTGGATAGATAACCAATGCATGGTGTGAAATATTTCTGATTTTTTTGTTCTTTTTTTGCTTGTTATTATACAATTAAGACCAAGTGGAAGGAAATGAATAGAGATTTTTCAATTTGAATAGGGTGTTAGGAAGTGCAGATGGATATGAATTTTGACCACAACGAGCAGTTTATGTAAGAATGTGAATAGGAGAAGCTATTTAAATACATACATATGTAGGTAATTACATAACCAAAAGTAGTAATGATTAAACACCTAATTGCATTTTATTTTTAATGGATGCTTGTGAAATTTTCATTGGATTGATTTTTCTAAGTTTTGCATTTCTCCATATGCGAACTCACCACGTGTGGCACTCTCTGTTGCATCATTTGTATATCCTCGTAAGAATAAACTGGTTGCTGATAGTATGGCAATCCAGTCTGTATATATTGACTAACCATTTGGATGTTGGGCACCATTCCGCTAGCGCTTGTTTTATTTGAAGATGATGAAACGGCTGCGGCTGCAGCTGCTGCGGCCACCACAGATGCGGGGTTGCTGCTGCTGCTACCACCTCCGCCGCTGCCGCTACCACTACCGCTGCCGCCAGCGCCGCTACCACCGCCGCTTACAGTGCTGCTACTGTTTGTATTACTGTTACTAGCGCTGCTAACGCTGTTGTTTACTCCCACGCTCGAGCTGTTACTGTTCACATTTGAGTTGTTAGCTACAAAACAGTGTAGAGAAATGGTGTTAGTACAAACATACAGTATCGGTTACATCATGAACACCCCTATTTCACCACCACCACTTGCGCGACTTATGTTTATTTATTTAAATTTTTTTTTAGTTCTGTACAAGGTGTTGCAGTTTTCTTTTTTAGCAACATGAAAGTTGCAATAAAATTAAATGGGCTAGAAAACTGTATACTCAAAGAATACTGCTGAGAAAAAAGTTTGAAATGTGGAGGAATATTTGTTGAATTTTTTTTTTTTAGTTTCCTACAAAATTTTTAAACCTTGAGTTTCCATGGTTTTTTTTTAGAGAATGAATTAGGTTTGTAAAGGGGTTGATCTTTTAGATTTTTTTCTGTGAACTGTTGCGCATTCCATATAAAAATATTTGCTTGCGCACTACCACTCCCCAAGACCTGGGTTCAAGTCCTGGTCCAACAACATCTAAATTATAAAATGCTTTATCTAACAGCGGTTGGCAAAGCTTCTCATAAAATTCATTTGCCGTTCGTTGGCGGCGTAAAACTGTAGGTTCCTCCAGTTGTGTAATATCAAGAGATACGCCACAAATTGCAGAACCGCGGCCAAACACTTAGCAATAATAGTGTAAGCGTGGAAACATTATTATTATTACTAAATAAATAAACATAAGTTGCCAACAACATCTTTTTTGCTGCTATGATTTTACTCGCAGCTATACATTTGTATATTCATGCAAGTAAAATATGACATATGTACGTATTTAATATTTTATTAAATGTATAAATGTATTTTTTTCTGAAATGCCTACAGTTAACCGACGCTGACGAATTCGCCACCGAATTGGCCGACACTGCTGAGTTTCCAGCTGCTCCACTACTACTAGCCACGTTGCTTGAGGACACACTGAAACGAATAAAAAAATAAGTTATTTAATATTAAATAGACACAAGTAGTACATATATATGTAAGATGCAAATATTAATAATATATTATTACCCAGTTAATAGCAAATATTAAAAAAAAAAATATTTAGGATGCATATTAGTTTATGTGTAATCGAATTACCAATCAATCAAGCAATTACAACAGTCAATCAAAACGAGAATTTAGAAGTAGAATTGCTGCTTACCCCTCATAATGCGAACCACTTGACGCTGTTGCCGTATCCTTCAATTTAGCACTTGCACTAAAGCTACTGTATTGAGAGGACGAAGTGTTTGTGCTACCGGCGAACCTATACAATAACAAAACAATAATAAAACAATGACAATATTTGTTAGTGCTTAAAATACTACAAAGCCTACGTTAACATTTACAAACGGATAAATTTAATAATAACCGAATTGGAGTATGTATGTACAATGTATATGCATTTAAGTAATTTATAATTTACTAATTAGGAATGGTACCTTCTATATAATACAAACTTATATGCATATGGCAACGACAAATTTAAATTCAGCTTTATTTCCATATGATTTCAGGGAAATACAAATAAAAAATATTTATTTTGACTAAACAGTTATTTTCACACTTTACGCAGAGGTGAACTGTACGTTTAGTTCAAATTACAAAAGTAATTTTTTTACATCACAATTTTTACAATGGTCAGCGCTTTTAGAATTATACCATGTTCTGACCGACCTCGAAAACATGTTTTCGTTGGTAAAACTGGTTTTCGACCTAAAACTTGTGTTTTCGTCCATGTAAAATCTGTCAAACGAAAACTAGTTTTCGCTGAAAACCACTTGAAAACTCACGTTCCACCCATTCCAATCGGTGTCTGCACTAGTTTTTTTCGATTATTTATCGAAGTGGAAATCATTTAATACGTCATTTCGGATTTATTGTTAATTGGCTGGCCAAAATAAAGAAAGCATGGAAGTAAAAGGTTTTTAATGAAAAGAAATTGAAGGAAAAGTATTTTGGTTTTGTCTTTTTTTGTAGCAAAACTGTAAACAAAGGATGACACCAACAGTCGGTGTGAACAGCCTTCAGCCCACAATCTGAAAACTCGTTTTCAAGGTGTTTTCGTTGTCGGTCAGAACATGGTATTAACAAAACTTGGCAAGCGGATTCGTGGGGCAGTGTAAAGCAGTTTCACCGCCATCTAATTGAAATTCACTCGGAAGTGAATTGCAGAACCTGCCTCAGTGTCTTTTTTTCTGGTCTACCTCGTTTACCTTTCATAGTGAAATCGGTATATTTTTAAAAGTTTCAAGTGGCTAAGATTTGAGTTTTTTTTTGTGCTGGCGGTGTAACGCATTTTCTTCTTGCAAAGTGTGTTCGAAAATTTTATATAATTACATATATGGAAGAATAAGCAAAATCCGCCTGCAAATATATTCAAAAATCTTAATCTTGCAAAATATTGTACTAAAAATGAATGGGCTATAATATAAAACTGCATACCCCAATTTTTCATTCAGAATTTTTTGAAAATTTAGTTAACACTTTCCAAGTCCCAAATTTGAATATAATAAAGTGGAAGTTTTAAGTCTCCAAAAATACCGAGGATTTGTAAGTTTTTTTTTTTGTGTTACCAGTTCTAGCATATTATCCTTCATTTCTAATGATGTGTTATTGCTATGCATTTGTGTTATCCATTCATATTTAGTCTGTTTCCAATAGCAGTCCGGTTTACAGAGTTTAGTCAGAACTTACAGGAAGTCGTTCCTCTAGGCATAAAACCTGTAAGTGGGAACACTTTTGAGAGAGTAACTGAGTAGCTGTTCCTAGTCAGAAGGTACAGGATTTAGTCCGGAGTTTTTTTTCCTGTAAGTTCTTGAAAAGTGTCAAACGATGGACAGGGTTGCATTTGTAAACAAAAACAGAATGCGGTGAAAGCAAAGAAACTTATATTTGTTAAAAAATGGAAGTAAACAATGAGGCTGAATTCAACAAAATTAAATGTGAATTGCAAAAAAAAATATTTTACAGCTTATCAGACGAAGTCGAGCTGACAAAATTGCGAAGACATTTGAGGCAGCAGGAACGTTTTTGGCCGTTTTTCTGATTGATTTCTTCATTCAATACGCTTTCCTTTTCCATTTCTCAGATGCTTTTTCATGGTTCGGAAAAAAATTAAGTAAGCGCCTGATGGCATTCGAGCCCGGTACCTTCTGAAAAAAGCTAAATCATTCTGAAAGCTAGCACGCTCCTCTGCGTGTACATGCTTTAAAATTTTCAAAAAATTAGGGCGATTTTCACATTAGCCGTTGGTTAAATATATATTTAAAGGGCTCCAAACCATAGCAAATTCACTTTTAATGAGAAATATTATCATAGGATTAGTGTACCTTGCGAACGAACCCCTTACAAAATTTTTAGCCGGTAAAAAGTTTGCAACATGCATGTGAATAACCAAATTATTACTTTGCGAAGCATATATTTTACTTTTATTTAAAATGTTCAAGACTAAGCGCACTTTTTTTAACTTTTTGCAACCTTTGGGAGCTGATGTATCGCTTATGTGTTTCAAGTTGACATAAAATAGTGTTTATCTTAAAAAGCCTCTAAGGAAAAAGTATCAGATTATGTACCTGGAATTCCTAAGTTACGAATTTTCTTTTGCCTTTAAAACTCGAAAGTCTCGAGCCTTTGGCGATATTGTCACTATTTTTATGAAAAATCTTTTGGCGTTTAAACATTTCCAATTTTTCGGATTTAGGGAATCAATAACATTTGGATATGAAACGTTAAAAATTGGTTCGTCCGTAATTGGTTCCAGAACTTCCTCCGCTGTTCGCATTTAAAAATATTTAGGGAGTTCACAAGGTGTTGAATACTGTCGTATAGTTATATGTCAAAAACTTTAAATGGCTTAAAATATATGAAGGGCCTACGCAAGGTACCATAAGTCATATTATGAATTTTCGGTGCTAAAAAATAGTTGCCTATGGTTTTAAGTCCGCTTAACATTTATTTAAGTTTTTATAGTTTACGACATACAACCATTCCTGTATATAACACTTTGTGAACTTCCTAACGATGTAAGTAGCAGGTTTTCTAATATTTTATTTAACTTCAAACTCAAATGCTTTCAATTTTTAACATTTTAATTACTTACCCTGTGCTATTCGAGAGACCAGTTCCACCGTACACACTTTGGCTGGACTGGTATGCACTTTGCTGTGTTGGGTATCCGGAGGACAAATATCCAGTATTTGTATTGCTACTGCATTAGATTATGGTTGTCAACATTAATGGAAAGCATTAAGGCCAAAGGCAGTGTATTGGCGGGCGGGAAGAAAGTGAGAATTTTGTTTGGGATAATTGTTAAGGGGTCATTCATAGTACAAAACTAAATAAGCAATTGTAAGTAATTCAAACGAACGTATAAACACATACGCAAATTAAGAAAAATAACAAATATCAACAACAAATAATTAACTAATAAAGCGAAATTTAATTGATTAAATGAATGAATCAAAAAATACGAAATAAATCAAAATGATTTGTCACTTACTTTGCATTGCTATTACCACCGCTGCCACCAACTACGGGAATGTTTTGTGTCGTATTGCCACTGCTGCTACCTCCAACGTTTACAGCGCCCCCTGTTACAGAGTTCGATGCTGTCTGGACTGCCGCCTGTTGCTGATATGAATTCATAGAATTCTGTTGATACGCTCCGTATGACTGCGGTTGGTATGTATTAGCAACAGAAGACTGTGAACGAAAGCGAAATAGATTTTTTTTTCAATGCAATGGAGGCATTCTCGAAGTCTTGCAAAGCCCTTGCTCGGTACATGGATTGTAAGGCTTTCACATAGGAAAACCAGTTTTCAGTGCGCAATGCATCCACCGTTCAAGGGCTTTACAAGACTTGGAGAATAGCCCTAATATAAACGCACGCCGTATAATCTCTTTTTCTGCGTTACCCGAAATTGGCTTGCGTACGTTTGAATTTGATTTCACTGAGCGACACGTCAAATCAAAATCTCAGGCAAAACAAAAATTGGAATTTGAGTTAGCTTTTTACGAATGCCGTTCAATTAAGGTTGATCGCATATAAGTTGTATGTGCATGAGATATTTTTGACAGTAAAATGCCGGCGTGCGTGAAAATTAGGTTAGGCTGTTACATAAGAAATAGCACAATTCACATTATAAGCCAAATATTTTAATCACCTGTACGTTAGCATAACTACTGCTGTTATACACTTGTCCGCCAGCAGATGGCTGGTAGGCATTTGCAGTCTTGTTGGCAACCGAAACGCTGGTTTGATAAGCGCTCGTTTGATATCCACCAGCAGAGTTCGTTGCACTCTGCGACTGACCATACGGATCGCTCTTAGACAAATCTAATGTGTGATTAGAGGTACCACCGACCGATGAGGCACCACCACCAACACCCACGCCCACAGCAACACCACTTCCCCCACTCACAACTTGCTGTTGCTGTTGTACAGCTCCTGCACCACGTTGTGAATAGCCACTTGACAATGCATCACCCTAAATTATGGCTGTTAGTATTGAAAACGTAGGAATAAGTTGTTTACTTACAAGTTGTGCACTTTGCAGGCCTGCCGTTAGTGAACTTTGTTGTTGTTGCACAGTTGACTTGCTCTGATAATCAGTTGTAACATCCTGCTGTGATTGTACCAACTGTTGGGACTGTGTTTGTTGCGGCTGCTGTTGTTGACCATCCATTGTCACTGACGCTCCAAACTTCTCGGGCAATGCTTCGAAAGTATCTTCGGTCCCGAAGTCAAGGCCTCCAAATTGCACATCCAAGTAGCCAATATTATTCAATGTGTCACCTGGCATTTCCACAGCTGTCGATGGAATCTAAAAACAATTTATATGCAAATAAAACTCCTCATAAATGTTTGCTCGTTTGCCTACCTTCGAAGGTGGTGGCAATTTAGCACGTGCTCTTCGCACTTGCGGCTGTTGCACCCCACTCGAAAGCTGTGATTGATCAGCGCCGGCTACGCCGAGTCCAGCGGTGGCTGCCGTGGTGACCGCTGCTGCTGAACCAAATACATTTGCATATGAAGTTGGATATTGCACAGCGGCAGCACTTTGTGCATACGTCGTTGCCAGCTGCTGCTGCTGCTGTAATGGTTGCTGCGCTGCCGCTGCAGCGGCGTTTTGCGATGTCAAAGAATTGAAATACTGAGATTGCTCGGCAGAGAGTGTAGCCGAAGCTTTGATTTGTGATTGCGGCTGCTGCTGTTGTTGCTGCACTTGCTGCACCAAGTTTGCAGCCGCCGTAGCAGCATTTGAAAATGTATCTGCAGCGTTGCCGTATGGCGCAGTACTAAGAGGCGTCGACAGAACCGACGGTTGTTGTTGTTGTTGCTGCTGCTGTGGTGTCAGCGGCTGCGATTGTGGCAGCTGTGAACTTGTTACAGCTGCACTATATTGCATCATAGGTGTTGTAGACACTGACGCAGACTGCACAACTGTTGAACTGACAGCTGAATTATCTTCAATTAGACCACTGCTGCTGCCGCTAACAACTCCAGGCACACTGCCGCCCGTCACCCCAACCGAACTGCCAACGAGCGTATTCAAATGAGATCCTTGCTGTTGCTGTTGTGGGGACGTTGCATTGCCTACTAGCCCCGAAGTGCTCAAATGGTGCTCTAGCCCGGGGGGCGCTGATAGCTCACTAGTACCGCTATTTACTACACTACTCACACCACTAACACCACCGCTAACCACACTTGCCGCCGTCTGGTTTGGCAAATTGCTCGTCGTGAATACTTTGCTATCTTTTAGTGAACCTACATACTCTTCATTATCCCAATCGCCCCAGGCATCATCTTGCAATTGTTGCTGCTGTTTCTCGGCATTCTGAGCTATAGTATTGTCCCAAAGCTCCACTTCTTGGTGATCTTCATTTGCGCCAGAGCGGGAATTGTATCCACGCTCGCCACGACCGCCAGTGCCACGGCCACCTCCACCGAATCTACCGCCGCCCCGACCACCGCGGCCTGCATAACCACCACCACGACCACCGCCACTGCGACTACCACCACCACCTCCGCCTCCGCCACCTTCTCTGCGCCGATAATTGTCATTGCGATCATCCCCTCCGCGTGAATCACGTAAATTGCGCTCGTTCTCGCGAGCCTCTCTGCCGCGCCCTATATTAAAATTTATGATCGCTTAATATCAATTCTATAGCATAAATAAGCATGACATTCTTACAGCCACGGCTGTCGGTACCACCGCGACCACCGCGATTGCTGCTTCGGTTACGTGACTTTTCGCGTCTGTCCGTATTGGCATTGCTATCAATCCATTCTCCATCGCCACCAGCATTCTCCTGCCCGGCACTTGCAGCTTTATTCTTTTTCTTCTTTGAAGATGTCTCAAATGCTCCCTAATTTGCAAAAATAATATAATATTAATACATTTATTTAATTCAACATTTTGAACCTACCACTGGAAGTGTCTCTAAAAGATATACAACAGCACGCTCTAAATCGTTATCGCACTCGTATAATGCACAACAGACTTCCTCTTCGGAACGCTGAGTCATCTCTATGAGTGTGGCGACTTTTTCGCGCATTTGCGGATCCTCTGATGTATTACTATTGGTGATCTGGGCAATGCGCAATTGTTCAGCAGTTGGCTTAAAAACAATAACAATTATTTTAAAGTTTCATTTATTTATTTTATTTATTTTTTTTTTTGTTTTGACTCGTTCTTAAGTCGCTTACCTTTGGGTGAGATTTTTCTTTTTCTGTCTTAGAGACATCTGTTTTTTTATTTGACGTCTGTAAAGCAGAATCACCACCTCCGCCCCCACCGCTGCCAGAATTTGACTTCTTTTGGTTGCGACCGCCGCCGCTGTTCCGATTTTGTGTGCTCATATTTATATGTACACTGTATTTACAAGTAAGCTTTTGGGATAATACAAGAAAATATAATACTTTAAACAAGTCTGAAATTTTGGATAATAAAAACAGATTAATGTAAATGAATTGAAATTCCCGATTTCACTGAACGGTTCAGAATCAATCCTTCAAAAACTCTGCGGAGTTTGTATGCTGTTACAATCAACAACCCTCTCATACTCACAAACTATTAAATCAAGCGGTCCCTAACACCTGATGTAAATCGTTCCCACGACAGTCGGGTCTACGTAACCGGAACGACCCAGATTTATATCTGGCCAAGGACTGTCACTCCAGCAACACTCCCCAAAAAGTTTTTGGGGAATTTGTATGCTGCTACAACAACAACAACAACAACCTGATGTAAATGAACATACATACCTATTTAGGAAAATAAATAATATAATGATTCTTACAAAGGTCACACAATGGCTATTGTTTGGACTTAATAAAAGAATATCGCAAGCAGTCTGATTTTAAATGTAGTTAACCCAAGCCATGTCACTAACTGGGGATGATGTATGTATATTATTTTGTGAATGTTTTTGAAAATGTCTGTTATTATTTTTAATACGCATGTATATATGTATGTACAACTTTCCCCTAAATTTTACGAAAAATTACAATAAAAAAATCTCGAATTGAATTTTTTCTAATTATGCAAATATATGAGCAAATCTTCACTGAAAGCAGAACGAGAATGCCCAACAATAACAGTGCGGTGGTTCAATTCGCTGGCGAAATTCCCTTGTGTCTCATTATCAGCCCCAAACCGCGCTAGACAATGGAGCAAAACTAACTTCTCTTCTCTACGTTCCTGGTCTAATCATTCACCACTTTGTCCATCCACATGTTCGAGTTGGTCGCCATTCGGCCTTTGCCATTCTTCCTCGCTAACCGTTTGGACTAATGTGCAATTTACCGCATGAGCATTTACTAGCATACATCTTTTCGCTTTCGCCTTTTTACTTTCCAAGGGAATCTTTATATATTTATTTTGGTGGAAAGTGGTAACTTAAAAGCTGCTATGTTATTCCTACTAAAACTTTTATTTAAAATCATTATTTACATAGAAAATTTACCTTATATCAAACGTGAAACACTAATTGCATACACAAGAAATTGATTTATAAAATTTTTGCTTGACACACTGTTGCCAGCCTTCTCACTAAACAAAAAAAAAGAAGAGTTAAATACAATTTTTCAAAACGAGTTCACTTAGTTAAAACATTTAATCCTTACCAAGTTATTGTAAAATAAAAATAAAAAAGTGTGATATTTTTATCACAACATACATATATTTAAACTTAGCACGTTGTATTCATAGAAATGTAGAAAAATTCAATCTAATATTTTTATACCAAATATATTTGGCAACGTATTTGGCAGGTGCTGGTAACCATGGGTACTTCGGTTTTTCTTCCTAATTACTTTTTGTTCGGCATTTAAAGACGACTCAAAGAGAATATGCAGCCGTCACGTTTATTCTACTCGCAATTTCGTCTTTTTCCTATCTGACGTTAACCTCTCACTCAATTTCAATACGAAGCGGTATTTTATGGCATCAGAGTTGCAATAATCAAACTGATTTATCAAATGTAATAATTCATGCTTAACATTTGATATCCAAAAAAACAGCGCGGCATTAATCATTAATAATACATATGTATATATTTCATCTGCAATGCAAAAACAACAATTTACTAATGCGACAATTCAACCGGCAACCCTCTTGCAATTCCTTCTAAAACCGCTTTCCGAAAAATCGAGTGAAACAACAAACTAGCACGAGTCGTGGGAGGAAGAAGGTACAAAACATTAATGCGTAACCGACGCTCTTTGTTCAGAAATCTGCAAAGGCAAATAACACGAGTGGGAATAAATCTTGTAAAAAAAAAAGTAGACAAAATGGAGTATTTATGGGAAACTTGTAGCGCAAGTCTATTTTTAACTTTTGATGTTTGGATCTAATTACACCTGCTTCGTTATCACTATAAACACAATTTTGTTATCTTCATATCGCACTAAAAACTCGATTTTTATACATATTCGGAAATATTCCGGTCCATGTGGATGCAAATTCATGCGATAGGACGCCATTTCATTGGTGTTGCACAAGCAAGCGCTTCTCTTTCGCACTCATAGGCATCCTAATGGTGCGCGATGAATAAGCACTTCACTTATACGTATTTTTCCCAAAATAATTCACCCATCAACCATCATTTGCAAGACACAATGAAAATAACTAGATTTTGCACTTAAGCACACTCCAACTGTTGAAATTTTATATATAGGTAACAGAAAACTACTTGACGCACATTTTTTCACTAATAAAAATAATTTTTCACCAATTTTCTACCAATAATTTGCTTAAAAACGCAGAGCAAAAACACCGTACCTGCAATTGTGCCGTCTTCTTCTACAGAAAAATTTTGTGCTGCCACTTCAAGAAAAAATCGAAAATTTGGCGCACAGTCGATACCAAAAGGCAAGTAACAACTTTCGAAACTTATGGCTGTTTACTCAATATGTGGTTAACACTAATCTCCGTTTAAACATCATTATCGACGTGTTCGGCTCCATGCATATAACATGGAGTCGGAGATTAGTGTGAACCAGACATTAGAGCTTATGCTAAACGGGCATTTCCACGCCGCAAACTTTGCGCAATTACGACACTGCTCAATTTAGCACTAGCTTGAGACCCGGGGTTGGAATCCTCGTGCGGCGTTGTTTTTTAACTAAATTTTTTTTAATAAATAATTGTTCAAGGAAGCTTTTTTAGAAATAATTTTTTTAATTAATATTTTCATATGAAATTCTGATGACTATTGCTGTTTCGCTATCGCTCCTCTCTTTCAAGAGAGCAATTTTGTTGTTTGACAGTTTTATAGGTTTTTACCATGATAAAAATATTGAAAGTTAGAACCGTTCTCCCAATTCGTCGGCCATGATTTTTTTTTTAAGTTTGCCAGCATTTTAAAATGACATAAAACTAAAAAATGAAATTATTCAAAATTTTTGTTGTTTGAAAATAGAACTGAGAATGTGTGTGTAGTTTGTGAGTTAATTTTCACATTAAAATGCTCGAAAACGTCAAAATGGCTAAAAGTGTTTCTCAGCGGATTTTACCTTCCTATATTTTTATCACGGGTTTTAACCATGCAAGAGCCACGCAAGAACGCGACGTTGTATTTGTAACTGGGTTAGAGAAAAAAGTTTTTGAAAGCGGGTTCGTCAGCTGAGCGTTTGTTTACATCACAAGTACAACTATTTTGCACTTTTATTTAAGTAAAGAAGAGTCAACATGACAACACGTTTTAAAGCATTTTAATGAATCATTTTAACTAAATTGTGTGTTTAAAATGGCTGGCAATAACTTTGGTTAATTTTGGTTTTCGTTGTTTTCTTTACCTTGTTTACTTTTCGTTTGTTTTCCAGTGAAACAAGATGGCGTAGAACCCGCTCAAAAAATCAACTTTTTTCACTTCCTTATTCTTGCGTGATCTTGTGTCGTTCGTTCCTGGGTTTTACAGGAAGTTATCTGGAACGCAACTATTTTTGGCTATATATGTTAATATTGACAATACGGCAACACTTCTAAACAGCTGATGATTTGTCAAAATTGTCCGTGCCTGCAATTGTGTGCTGCTCATGTTTTCGTAAGACATTCGCTGGAGGATTTAGAAAATAGCACACACTTTCTTCCAATTATATTTGTCATCCACATAATAAGATGTCATTAACCCCTGCAAGTGGCATTGGCCGGTACTATAAGCATTCGGCGAAAATTATCCGCTTCGTGCGCCAGGGCTGCACAAACCGTCCCTTCTATCACATAGTTGTTATGGAGGTATGTATTCCTGGGACAATAACCACTCGGCTTAAACTATAGATGAATATACCTTTTGTAGCGCCGTAAAAATCAGCATCAGCCCGTAATAGAACAAGTTGGCAGTTATGATCCAATGCCCAACGAGAAAAATGAACGTTTAGTTTCATTTAATTTTGAACGACTTCGCTATTGGTTAGGTCGTGGAGCCCATTTGTCAACACCAGCAGCCGAGTTATTGGGTATAGCTGGTTTTTTACCAATTCATCCACGCACTTATATGACCGCCTGGCGTAATAGGCATCTAAGCCCAGAGGACGCTCAAAATCAAGAAAAGGATCCTGTTGCTGCGTAACGCGAAAAAACTCAGTCTGCATTTAAATAGTTGAAAATAATAAAAATTAACAAAACCTATTTAAATACATACTTATGTACATGTAGGTTTTTAATTTGAGTTTTTTATGTATGTAACTTAAGTCATACCCCTGCAGAAAATCCGACTAACTCAGAACTAGCGTTGAACTAGACCTTTTGCCGACAGTACTAGTTCTAGCTCAATACCCAAGCCATGCTTTCAACTGTCCAGTTTTACACGGCGATTGCCAATTGTCGCCCAGTGCATTACTTTGCAACTAGTTTTTGACCGGTTCCGTTTTGGCTAGTTTTTTAATTCGTTTTTAATATTCGATTTTTGGATATTTTTCCGTGTTTTCTTTTCTTTTACAGATTCCATGTTTGTTACATATTTTGTAAAAATATTGTAAGCGGCACGCAACAATTTAAATTCATTAAATCTGAAAACTCACAACTGCCTCCACCTCGATTTGAACTCGCGACCAACGATGCTTGAGTCGGAGGTCTTCACGCTGAGCTACTTTCATATTGTACGAGAAGTGAGAATGTGTACACTTACATAAACCGCAAGTTTCAACTGTCCCGCTCTGTAACCGTTTTTACTAGTTCAGAGATAGTTCTGAAATATTTAGTTCGGAACTAGCGCTTTGCCAGACTGTCTCTAAATTTTTCTGCAGGGACTATACATAAATATTGTACACTTGGTGGAACAGCCGAAACAAAATTCTCACGATTTTTACTCCAATGCTTGTTACTCGTATGATAACGAGCTCTTTCTTAGCAGAAACTGGGCCCGAATTACGGCATCCGTGATCGAACAAAATAAAATTACAGCTGGTTTCACTCACTACAATACAAAGCTGTATACTGTAATACTGTATGCTGGAATCTGAAAAAGAAATGTCGGATGCCGGTGCATTTAATCTATTTAAAAATAAGATAATTTAGGTAAGTGAAGCCATTCCTTCTAGAAGGGCTTATTCATTTACAATTTATGCGAATGGATAAATTTATATCATTAAGCATTACAAATGAATTTCAATAAACATTTTAAGTTGCAATAACACATAATTAAATATGTATGATTTCTATAAATTAAAGAAGCAACTTGAAAAGAACTTCTCCAAAAGGCCTTCTGAAGGCGTTCTATGGGTAACGAAAGAAGAAGCCCTTCAATTTGTGCCACTCCATACAAAAAAAAAGAAAGGAGAAAGGAATGTAGAGTGGAATGCCTCTTGACTCTCAGGAAAGTCTTTCGGAAGGGCTTTTAACTCCTGAAATTATCTACTGGGACTGTACTCTTGTCAGGTAACAGCACTAACCAGGCAGGTTCTGCAATTCATTCCGAGTGAATTTTAATCAAACTCGCTTTGAATTCAAATTGCCAGGGGTTGAAATTCACTCGGAAGTGAATTGCTAGACCGATAATGTCAAAATATGTTAACAAAGTTTTACAGTTTAGGGTAAAATTTGATAACTTAAGGCACCAAAGGTTTGAAAAAAAATCAAACCAGCTATTCTCGGGCTACTACCTATATGACACCAAATAGACCAACCCAATTTACAATTGTATATATTTTTTATTTTTCAAAGCTATGAAGCCAAAAAGTGTTTACATCTCTTAATTTTCTTTCTTTACAATACAAATTTAAGCTGATAATTCTAAGTTTTTAAAGCAACTAAAATTTAACGTTTACCGCTAGGTTCAAAAAAGGTGTATTTACCTTTATTTTCTTACATTACTTTAAGGGCGATAAGATGTTACTTTGAAATAACGTAATATTGATTTTACTTTTACATAAAGGCGTGTATGCTGCATTTACAAAACAATGCTAGGTGCTGTACTAATAATTTAATTGATTTAAAAAATATGTGTTTTTATTTCAAATGTGTTTTAAAAATATCATGTCTGATTAAATATGTGGATTATTCATTGTCTTTGTTCTTTGTTGCTCTCCTTTTATTCATTCCACATAAAGCTATTTATTATGATTGATTGCTTTCTTCTGTCTGATGTTCCAGAAATGCAATTACATCAAAATAATGAGTAATATCAAACATAAATTATTACAAATTATTCTTGTTTAGTGATGCTGTGGATGGAGTCCTTTGCCTTAGAAGCCACCTTATCAATAAACTCGTCAGCGGCTAAAAATAAAAAATAAATTAGTTTATTACGAAAATTTTTTGGAATATAAACATGACGGTGCCTGTTTTCTCAAATTTTCTGAAATTCATTTCGAACTAAAATCATACATTTGGTTTTTGCTGATCTTGTAATCGTACTATTTATCAAGCATATTCTACAATTCACTTTCCAATGAATTTCAACTCCTGTCAATATGCAATTTTGCAAGCAATTTTGCAGAAACTGCCTGTATATTTCAATTTACTTGTACGAATTGAAAAAAAGTCTCGATTTGTGTGATACATGCATATCGTCGTTTAAAGTTACAAAACCGCGTATCACGATAATGCAAAACCGCGTATGTAAGGTCACCAAGATTTTACCGGAGAGAGTAAAAATATATGCTACTCTTGATCAGCGGTATAACAACTATGCTGTTATTTTGCAGTACATGGTCTAATATCGATATATTGGTATGAATAGATTAGGCTTTATGCCTGGAGCTTCCCATGAGAAAATCTAATTTTTGGCACAAATGTCAGTTACGCGGTTGTGCAAAACGACGATAGGCGGTTTTGCACTTTAAACGACGATATGTATGTATCTATGTAAAACAAGTAATGAAGAATTCAAGAAATCGAAGCCTGGAAACAAGCTTGTTATCTAGAAATACTTTACAATTTTTAAACGGCTGATTTTTTTTTATTAATAATGGCACGTCAGCTCAAAATTACTACTATATAGTAAAGAATATGAAATAAAATATTTTACCTCGGTGGTGCTTCAGGAAATATGGGCGCACAACGCTTTGATAGATGACGGTAGATCCATTCCTTTCGATTGGCAGCATGCACCAGATGAGAAATGCGCACTGCAAGTTGGCAAGAAAATAATTTAGACTTATTCAAAAAAAATAAAATCGATTTATAGAGCATTGAGAGACAATTCCATTAAAAATTCACATGAATTCGTCTTGTTCTAAATCTTGCAAAAATTTCGAACTGTTTTCAAAGTTGGCGTCAAAGGCTGTTTCTCTACCTTATCTTTCAATTATTAGTGTAATTCAACTTAAGACTAGGTTTTAAGAATGCTTTAATTGCCTTTCTCTACAAGTGACATTTAGGATTTGTTTATAATGGTGTGGATCAGCGGACGGCATACGTTAAATATGGCCTTTAATAACAGAAGGCATTCCGTGGCAGCACTAAATTCGACGTGTAGGCTAGTTTTGCCTACTGCGTCCTACTAGTCGCCGGCCAATACATAGGTGCGGAATAATTTAGAACCGGCCGGCCAATCTCCTTTTATGTTACAAAGAACGTTTTTGTTGTTGTTGTTGTTGTAAGCGGCTCTGTATTTTGTTGACGATTGTGGTTGCGGATTAGGAAACAAAGTTTTCACAAGAAATCCTGACGCCTAATGTCAACTTGGCCTCCTAACTTCAGGTGGTAAAAAGCTCGGCCGTTGATTTTGGAGTGGAAAGCATTAGGTTGCTGCGGTTAGGAAACTTTAGTGCTCCTTATTTGTGTAACTTTCAATATTATATGTATATAATTTTTTTCTAAGGGTGTGTACAGATTTATCCACCGTACTATTTATTATGCAAGCACTCTCATACGTACGTGAATACATATCGCTCATTCACTTCAATATTGTCATAATTCAAAAAACCAAAAACGCAAAAAAAAAAAAAATGTTTTAAAGCTTTGAGTTTACATATCACAGTGTCATAACTCAAATAAACCCAACTCGAGAAAACGCCTTTAAAGTGTGGTATTTTCATATACTCCCATGGTAAAAATGAATACATATTTTGTTGTAGCGAGATACTGGTAATCGATAAGGCTATGAAATCTATAAACAACATAGTAGAAGAGATAGCGGTTATTTCTGCGTACTTAACTCAATATATGTATACATATTTTTTATTTTTTTGGATTAGACACTATTGAAGGAAATGAGCGATATGCTCCCATAGTAAAAGTGAATACATATTTTGCTCTAGCGACCTACTCGTAATCGGTACAACTAGGAATTTTCACGCAACATAGGGAAACAGGTAATTTTTGCATACTTAACTCCAGTTTGTATTATTTCGGATTATGAAACTAGATATTGGAGTAAATGAGCGATAAGTTCATACTTATGCTAATTTACTAAAGGACCATCAAAACTAAAAAGAGTGATTTTCAGGGAGAAGCGTTTAGGTTTTTAATCGCCTCCCAAAATGTAGAAAAACGAAAATGCACACGATTTGTACACAATCACCCTTATCTTGAGTTTTGCCCGAAACTTTTTCATCCTCCCGTAGTGAAGGCTGAATATGAAACTTGTTACATACATATATGTAACGAGTAATAGTGTATCATTTGCTAAAAAATTCAGTTTTTTATAGTTACGGGTCTTATTCTGTATCACGAACGATAGGCAAAATGAACGATTCGTCTGCAGACGACAACCTCTCTGATTGCGATTTTAAACTCTATCGGTCGTCTTCGTCTTGCTTTTCATACATTACGTTGCAATGGTCTCGGTTGCGTTTAAACCGGCTAAAGTGATACCGCCCGACTAATTTTTGAAGCATTCCTCTGCAGACGAATATTTCGTATTGCCTATCGTTCATGATACAGAATAAGGCTGTACGACAATGTTTTAGTAAATGAGTGATATGCATTTGCATATCTTTGCATCGTCTTCAAAAAAAGGGACCACTCAAAATTTGGCATTTTTGAAATTACGCGCTAAAAATGTACACAGCGCTTTTATTTACCTCTCTCAGCAAAAGCTGGAGCAAATTTGTGTTATGATTCGTTAAAAAACCTAAGGTAAAGTCGCCCTTGCCCATATGATAAGCATGAAATAGTTTTTCGCATTTTCTGAGGAACGTATTATTTTGGGTTGTGACTCTTTTGAAGACGGTGTTCGATATGTAGATTTATTAAGTTTTTGTGTTAAAAATCTCTCGTATTAAAAGTAAGAAAATTATCTAAAAGTATTTACTTTTTTCATATCGCGGTATAAATATTCAACTCACCTTAAGTAACCAGTAAAAAGGTATGACAGAGGTCAGAAAACCGGAGAAATATTCAATCAGTGATAATATAGCATAAGTCACCCAGTAAATCAACCATCTGGTATCGTCCAATTTCGTACTCGACTCAATGGCGTGTATGGAGATATAAGCAGGATAGGCAACACCAATTGTGTTGCACAGCAGCTGAGCACCATAGCCTAAAATCAAATATAAAGCACAGAATGCAGCAGCACCTGAAAAAGGCAAAATAAAATTAGACAACATTCTTAAATAAGCCCTTGAAATAAAAAATATACATATCTTGGCATACATATAGTACGCATATAATTCATATATTTCGCTGCATATTAACCAATTGTCAAATTTTTTTGCTCGTGATAAATTTGCGTTAGTTTCTCTTGCAGTGGTTCGAACATTTCAGTAATTTTTTGCAATTTTTGCTTAGTAATTGTGCATAAATAAGCCTGTCCAAAGGTTTTAATAAATGTTACTAAATAATATTTTCATTTGCACAAAACAATGCACACTGCGGCGGATATATTCACTACAATTATATGACCCGCACAACTACAGCTGTTAAAACATGCCAAGCAAATGAGCTAAAATTTATTAAGAATATAAAAAGGTTCGGCCGTTTTTCAACGTCAATTAAAATATTGTGTCTTCTGTGCCACGTAAAGAGATAAAATAAAAATGGCTCAAAGGCAGATTGTTAGTGGCTAACAATGTGTTGCTAAATATATAATATGTACAGATGTACATTTGTATAAGCGTTGAAGTGAACTGAAATCCGTTTATAATAAAATGCGCTTGCGAAAAGAGAGCGAACAAAGGTAACTAACCGGCCATTATACGTTACGTATGGATGTACATAGTTAGTAGATAAAATAACTCTTTTGCAAGTGTATTTCACCCTAAGTATTAAATTAATAAGCATATAAGCGACTGCACATACACATAACAAAATATTTTATATACATGCGTACATACATATGTACATATGTATATGTATGCATATAATCATATCGTCGTTTAAAGTACAAAACCGCGTATCGTCATTCTGCAAAACCGCGAAACTGACATTTGCTACCAAAAATTGGATTAGCTCACACAAGCTCTTGGCTCAATCCTTATCCATTCGTCCTGAAATATACTAGCCAGAAATGCGATTGCTTTATAAAAAAGAACCATTTTAAAATATAAGTGTTTTTACTCTAGAAAATAATTTATGCAACCTCACATACGCGGTTTTGCATTATCTTGATACGCGGTTTTGTACTTTAAACGACAATATATAATTCATGTATTAACATACACACAAATAGATATGCACCTTCGTATGATAAAATAATGAAAACGATTATCCGTCAAAGCGTAATAGTGCTAACATGCCTAGGTAACATGCAGCTTCGTGTGCAACATAAGTAAAACACATGACAATGCTTATTAACTTAATATCTTCTGTGTATTCAATATTGTAATTTTGGTTCGATGTTTGTAAGTGTAAGAATATGAAAAGGACGAGAACAACGAGTTAAATAAGTTTAGCGATGCTCGCTTCTCTGTTTGAACGCAAACTAATCCCCGCAAACTAAATGACAATAATGTTAGATATACCGAATTTGGTACAGATCGTTGAAGTAGTTTCTGAGATAAAGATATTTAGATGGGCGGTGCCAGGCTCATTTTCCAAACATTTTAGAAAAAACAATTTTTTGCTACAAAACTATTTTATATACAGAGTCGGACAAAATTTTTCGCAATGCATGCAATGCATGTTTTTTATTTTAATTTCTTTTCGCAAATTTTTTATAACAATATAGTTCAAGCTACAACAAAAAACGTATACATAAAAAAATATTCCCACGAATTTATAACCATCTCCTTTTTTGAAGCCGATAAAAAAATATATCTTTATGCATCATCGGATGAAAAATTATCTATTACTACACCTTTTTCAGTTTTAGTTCAGAAAGTTGCAATTTAAATTCAGAAAGTTACAATTCAAGTTCAGAATTTCCATTTCAAATTCAGAACTTCCATTTCAAATTCAGAAAATTAAAATTCATATTCAGAATTTCTATTTCAAATTCAGAAAATTACAATTCAAATTCAGAATTTCCAGTTCAAATTTAGAAAGTTACAATTGATATTCAGAATTTCCATTTTAAATTCAGAAAGTTGCAATTTAAATTCAGAAAGTGACAATTCATATCCAGAATTTCCATTTCAAATTCAGAAACTTTCATTTCAAATTCAGAAAGTTACAATTAAAGTTCAGAAATTTCCAATTCAAATTTAGAAATTTATAATTTAAGTTCAGAAAATATCAAATTAAATTCAGAAAGCTTTTTATTTTAAATTTGCATTGGAAGAAAAAGTCTTCCCAAACAACGAGAGTCAGTTTAACCAAGGACCGTAACGGCTATGATCTTTGTGATAAAAATCATAATTAAATTTTCATAGTTGGACTTGTGTTTTTACAAGTTTTAATTTAACTTGCTCTGTATGTATGTATGATTGCTAGGGGAAATTTTACAATCAATTTTTTACCAACTTCCCGATGACCTAGAGACTTAAAAGTTCACGGTTGGCTCAGAACCCGATGACAATGCAATACAAAATATGAGTTAATCCGATAGGTGGCGCAGGAGTCGAGATATTTGAAAAATCCGTATTTATAGACCGATTTTTTCATATTTAGAGCGTATACCATCTATGAAAAGATATAACTCAATGAAAAATTTTGCCGATACGTTTGGTAAACGAGTATTTATGGTCCGACCACCGTGGTATAAGTAACCTACTTATGTATGTTCATATTGTACGTAATCCTCACCAAGTTTTGTTCGGACAGAGTGGTTAGAGATGCGTGCTACAACTCCGTAGGACCTGGTGTCGATCCCTGATCCGAGCAACATCTATGTACATTAGAAAAAGTTCTTTTCTAACAGCGGTGGCCACTCGTCAGGCAATGGCAAACTTCCGAGCGTATTTCAGATTTGAAAAAGGTTCTCATTAAAAACTTCTAATGAAGCACATTTTCACCAAGGCCGACTTGATCGTGGAGGAGCCTGCATCGTTTGAAAAATAGCATGCCATTTTTTGCCCGGCCCGGCAAAATCCTTATAGCGTTAGCAATCTAGGGTAAAAGGAAACTACTGTATGGACCACCCTCTAGAAAATCCAAAGTAATATTCTGTTGATGTTACGTAAGGTTAACAAATATTTGTTGATAAAGGATAATAACTTTTAATTTGCTTACAAATGCAATAAAGAGATTTTAGACCTTGAAATCCTCCATACCCAAGAGTTCCATAACAAGTTAGTGGCACGAAATTAGACTTACTTTTGCAAAACTTTTAAAATTTTTAGTCGAATAAGTTGCACGACTGATACTTAAAGCACGATTTTAAAAATCTTGTTAGTTGATGTGATAGTAACAGCACGATTTAAAAAATCTTATTAGTTGATGTGATAGTATTTAGTTTTCGCTGAATATAAAAAAGGATTTCATATGACTTTCTTCAAACTTACAAGTACTTTATTTTTGAAATAGAATATATTGAATCGTCTGCTAATTCCTACTAATGACTTGGTCGAAACGGGTCTCGAGTTTCTAGTTTGTACACCATACACACTATGCATCATATGAATTTCAATAGAAATAGTAGCTTAGTAACGGATTAAGAAATGGGCTCACAGAGAAATAAGGTGTATTGCTAAGATGTATGTATTAAGAATAGTTGCTTTTATCTACTTCTAGAAAGTAAATATATGAAAATATGGGAAAAATCGCATATGTTTGAAATCATATGTATACACACCAACTCCAAATTTAACAATTGGCTCACTGAGAGCCTTTATACGTTGTTCGCGTCTTCTCCAGTTTATAAAGTATTCCCAAATCCACATGTTTATTTAAGACGAACGACTTTTTCAGAAAAGAGGAGCAATCTTCAATCACCGATCTGTGCTTGTGAGGATTAAGGTTATGTGCATCTGATTTTGTTTGTATTTATGTAAATATGTATAATTATTGGTGCGTTTGCTTCCAAAGTGCACTGGCAGACACGATAATTTAAAGTGCACTGGCAGACACGATAATTTGTAAGATCATTACAACAGGTAGAATCATTGACTTCATTAGAAAGTAATGCCACGTATGACCTTATTTTTAGAACAATGGCGAAAATGTTTTATGTCTGCTATCACTCTGACGTCAGCGGGATATTGCGCTTTACTTTCCCATATACATATGTATGTGCATATGTCTGTTCTTGAGTTTCAAGATTACTTAAATAAACTTTGGTTATTTAATAGTAAAAAGCAAATGAAATAAGCGTGACTTTTAGTACCGACCATGGTTTTGTGGTTTGCGTTAAAAAGAAAAAAAGAAAAAAGTGGGATGAGTAATTTTACTGCCGTAAAAGTCCAAAGAAGCAAAAGAGAAAACCGAAATGTGACAGAAAATCAGTAAAATAAAAGGCGGATCACATGTCGGTCAATAAATATGCTATTTTTCAGCTAACCTAATGTTGTAATAATAAAACTATGGAGAGATAACTTAAAACTAAAGAGCCTACTAATTTAAGTTTTATTCTACATGATAACTTGTGCTATTTTTAAAATTCAATTGCATTAATGCCTACGTTGACAACATGACATAGCTCACGCCTATGATGTCAGCCAGTCGGCACCAGCAAACCACTACGTCGCACTCACCCAAAAATAAGTACAATCTGGGAACGTTTGTTTTTGCTTCGACGAACTCAAATGCCTGTGTCCAGGGCTTGCTGCGGTCTTTGAGTGCTGCATCCACAGACTTTCGGTACTTTTCCACTAATTCCTGTGCCTTCTGTGCCATTGCTGATCACTTATAAAAACTTTTGTTGGCCTTCGATTTTAAAATAGCAATTATTTTCGATGCTTCACCGCTTCTTATCCGCCAGAGAGTGCGATTCTTCAAATTTTCCAAAATCAAAATTTTTCTCTGCTTCTTTTTTGACGTTTTGCTTTCGTACAGATTCTACTGACGTCAACAAATGAAATGCCAACAGTGATGCGGAAATTAACAAAATTGGTCTAAATCAGGTAAAGGAAAATGTTATTTACAAAATATATGTATGTATGCAAGGTATAAGTATTTAAATAGCGTGTTCAAAAACTTTAATGAATAGATGTTTGTTCACTGTAGCGTTTTAATCTCAAAAAAGTCGATAATTCTACATACTTGCGCAAACCGCGCGTTACGGTACAAGGCGGTATAATCCCAATATCCAACTACTCAACAGAGCTGAAAAACTATCGATTGCACTATCGATGGTTTTTGATTATCGACAACATCGATGGTTTTGTAAGCACTATCGATAGTTTTCAAACATAAACCAATTAGAACAAATCTGACCGGTTGAGAAGCAGCCATTTGTAATAGCAATTGAGAAAAAAGTGTGTGACGTTCGTAATTTTGAAGTTTGCTATTTCTGTTTTGCTTCCTTTTTTATATGTATTTTGTCGGTGGTTTATTTCAGTGATTTGTAAGTGATTTTGGAACACATCAAGATAACCAACCGTTCAGCTATAGAAAAACTAAAAATGCAGACCGATAGTACTTTTTACGCTGATTTCAACTATATAAATATTATTTGCCGCGATTAAAAAGTAAAGAAGATGTAAAAGGTTAAAAAAATTTTTGTGATATTTTAAAATAATTATATTTTATAAACTACGTAACCGATTAAAAAAGTAATGATATCAAAATAAAGGCAATTAATCCATCTTTAAGTTCATATATAAAATGCGTTTGCTTGCTTATATATTTAAGCCAAAAATATTAAAAAACAAATAAAATGTTATAATTTTTCATAAAATAACCTTTTTTAGAAAAAAGTGCATAATCAATGCTAAAGACATATATATTATTTAGAAAGTGCAAGTTCTTACCTTTAATTTGATATGCATATTTTATTATGATCTACTTTTGAGGTTTAAGAATTTAGTGATACAAAAAATTAAAAGCATTTACAAGCAAAAGTGACAAATGTGGGTGATATCATAGTTTCTTTTGCCCAGAACTTCTTTCTGCGTAGGCGGCCTTCGGCCGCACTTAGTGATTATAACCCTCACTNTGATTTTTTGTGCAAATGTAATTAAAATGACGTGCACGGTGATTGAATGCATAAATCATAAATTGGTTAGCACAAACATGTGCACAATATTGCTTGCAGTTTTTCTTTATGCTTCGTCTTCATATTCTTTGTTTACTTTTCACAGAAAATAACATGGCGCCGAAATTACAAACATCAGCCAGAAAATTACTTTTTTCTTTTGCTCCATCTTGTCAGATCTTGTGTAGTTGTATCATGGTTTTCAAAGAGTAAAAGCCGGCGGCAAGGTGTTTTAAACAAGGTGGTGTTGGGGCGACAGCTGAGTTTTTCGCCGTGGAGGCCATTATGTCAAAATGATGTGTTTGTTGTAACTCATACCAATAACAATATGGACATCAGCGTATAATTTGTTAGTGTAATTTTTTACTTATATACGGCCAACACCACCTTGTTAAATACGCCTTGGCCGGCGGTACGTTTTTCATCTTGTGAGTAAGAAAGAACATTTAGCAAAGCACGACAAATAATTTCAGGCCGCAGATACTGCTTGAAGCGAAAAATCGTTGATAAACTTTTGTTCCTTAACAAAAATATGGATACTTTAGCAATTCTGCAGCTCGTGTAACATTTCTTCCAAAGCGAATTCAGATTTTCGCCGCGGTACTTCCTAATGTCAAAATGATGTGTTTGTTGTAATATGAATTCGCCTGGTTTACAACAAACACATCATTTTGACATTAATAAGTACCGCGGCGAAAACCTAAATTCGCCAGTAACACCACCTTGTATACAAATTGACTAAAAAGTTGCGTGCAAGGCGAATCTATACAAGGTGGTGTTATCGGATCCGCTAATTTCACGGCGAATTTGTACCTTTTGTCAAAATCATGTGTTTGTTGTAATTTGGCTTTGTACTGATTGTCAGAGAGCGTATAATTTGTTGTTGTAACTTTTGTTTTTGTTCTGTTAACACCACCTTGTATAAATTCGCCTTGGTTGTGTGCAACGACACAAGATCACGCAAGAACAAGAGAGTGAAAAAAGTCGATTTTTTTAGCGGGTTCTACGCCATCTTGTTTGCCTGGAAAACGTCTTTAAACACATAATTTAGGTAAAATTACTCATTAAAATGCTTTAAATCGTGTTGTCCTGTTAGATGAACTTTTCTTTTGTTAAATAAAGGTGTAAAGTAGTATACTTGTGATGTAAACAAATTCTCAGCTGACGAACCCGCTTTCACAAATTCTTTTCTCAGAACCAGTTACAAATACAACGTCGCATTCTTGCGTGATCTTGCATTTTTGGTCCATGCCATGATAAAAACATAGCAAGGTAAAACCATTGCGAATCAGTCTGACGTTTGCCAGCATATAATTTAAAAATTAAAAACTCAAACTCACACACATTGTCATTTTCAATCTCAAACAACAATTGCCTACAATTTTTTTTTTACTTAATTTTATATGATTTTAAAATGCTTGCAAACTTCAGAAAAAAATCATGGCCGACGAATTGAGAGAATGAATCAAGGCGAATTTATATAAGGTGGTGTTGCTAGAACAGCTGCTTTAATTCGCCTCGGTACACATATGTCAAAACTCCTTATGAGTGAATGCGAAAGAAAGAGTGTTGGCATTTTCTTTCCCTCTTCCTCCTTGAGCGAAGAATAGCTGGAATTTGACATTTGTGTACCGAAAACGAAAACAAAAGACATGTTAGTTTTTGTTTTTGTACTACCGCTACCACCTTATATGAATTCGCCTTGGAATGAATCTACCTTGTAGTGCTTTTATCATGGATAAAAATATTGTAAGGTAGAACCGCTGAGTCACTTTTAAAATTTTTAACGTTTCCAAACAATTTAATTTTTAAATTCACTCACAAACTCACACATTTTCGAATTTCGAACAATTTCAATTTTTTTTTCACTTTTATTTGATTTTAAAATGCCTCAAACTTCAAAAAAAAAATCATGACCTCGATTCTACCTTGCTATGTTTTTATCATGGATTCTTGCCACCTTATTAAATTCGCCTTGGATACCACCTTATATGAATTCGCCTTGTGTTGTGCGATATTCATATAAATATCATGCATGCACACAAAGAAAAAGTGCAAGTGAAGACAAGGTGTTATGAATTTGAGATTGATCGACTTGTTGCTTTTTTAAGCACACTATTTTTCTGGAAAAGTAAATAATTCAGTTAACTAAAGTTACAGTGTTATCTCCCATATAAAAACATTAGTGTATAAATACTTATACCTCATACGACGAAGTGTCATGTCCTTTTAGATAGTTTTTAATACGATAACTCCGCTAAGTGCAATATATGTAGTTACACAAATTTTCATATGACATAAGTGGGGTAGCTTCCGTAGTTCACAAGAGAATTTCTATAAATATAAGATTGAAAGTAGCGTTAAAAGCCTCTATTGATGTTTATTACTCACTGTATATTCCGTTTTTAACAAATCTATATGGAAGGGTGGTACTTGGGTGGCACTGAACAGTAGAGATCAGTGATGGAAAATGAGTGTGCAATGTGCCATTTTCGGCCCTTTCGGAAGCAGCCAGCACCTTAAGCGCAATCGATTGATTCTCGGCACTATTTGTACATATTTCTTTCTTTTTTTATTAATAATTTCTATGTAAAAATACCTGATCTTTCGATTGATATAACTTAAAAAAAACATTAAAAATAGACATAATTAAGAAAAATTACAGATAAAGTATCGTTTAGAATTTTCACTATGCAAATGGAAAAATTTAGAAAAACGCATAGAACCATCGGATAGCCCGTATAAAAATCTAAAGAAATCATATTTTTCGAATTATTTTTCCCATTTTCTGTCTGCTTCCCAGCTAATCGAAAAGTGGCTTGTTTTGCACCGCTCAGCGCGCCTGGGACATTTGACGTGTAATACGTGCATGTACACACTTTTTGTTACGTTTTGTTTTGTAAAGTAGAAATTTCCCAATAACTTTGTGAAAATTCATCAAAACAGTGAAATACTTTTAAATATATTTTATTTTACTACAATACAGATAAAAATATGGGGTACTAGTCTGTGATTAAATACATTTTATTAAAATATAGATTATTCATAATATGTACTAAAAAGGATCTTTCTATTAAGCGTCCTCTTCATAAGAGAAATAATGCATATAAAAAATGTTTTGGGTGATATTTCTGTTTTCTTATATGCACTAAGTAATGTAAATATAATTTATTAAGAAAATGGTACATATCGCCGAATTTCAATTTGTTAGAACAATGACCTGCATTTAGGCACATCCTTCCTAAAAATTTGGCACAATTTAAAATTTTGTTTTTCCATCACTGGTAGAGGTGCAAAAAAAATCGATTCTGGCATCGATACATCGATTTTTTTAATTTTTGACACAACATCGATGCTGTGGGCGAAATCCAGTAAAATCGAAGAAAGTTCCTAGGCGACTATCCGACTATCGATAGTTTACAAAAAATCCCTGCAAAAATCACGACTACTCCATGCATGCGTGTAAACAGCAATTCCTAAGGACCAAGGTATACTCCAAAATTAACCACAATTCATATAAAAAATATAGTCCAATTAACATTGTGATGTCTGCATTTGATCTACATAACATCAGAGTAGCACAAAACTACTCCAACATATTAACAATGGCGTTGTTATATTTTTTCGTTTGTGCAAGCTTTTGTTCTTCACTTCTCAGATGCTTTTTCGTAATTAATAAAAACCAAAAACAAAAATTAAAAATTACATGTTGCCTCTGACGGCATTCGAACCCGAACATGGTGGGAGCCAACAACTAATAGCGAGCATCTCTACACGTTCAGCTGCAGCCAGACATGCAAATGAGCTTTCAAATACTCAACTTCAATCACATTTCGTTAAAACAGAAGCAGTGATCGGGTAACAATAGGCAGGTGCAGAGACACGAGCTGGTCCGCTACAGCATGACAGAGAAATAACTTTGTAAGTACTCCAATATACCACAAATAGACTACATGGTCCAACGATTTTTGCAGGGATATCGCCCACTATCGATAGTCGGGACTATCGATAGTTTACCACTACTACGGATTATTTGTACGAGATAGGCGCAACCAGGGCTGGCACCTCACGAAACCGATTGGTACCAAAACCCCAGAAAAATCGTAAAAAAAAATAAAAATCGTAGTAAAAAATCGAAAAATTAAATTTATATGCAATTTTTATCTTTCAAAACAGAAAATTGTTACGTTTTACGCTGACGACACACAATCAGTATTGCCTTTCAATTTCCTTACACACATTGCTTGTCAAAAATCATCAAAATTGAAAGCCATTATGTAGGCTGCATTCAATTAGAGAAGCAATTTCATTATCAACATGCCGTCTTCAAGAAACAAATGTAACTAACTAGCTTCTGAAGACCATTTTCCATTTTAACTCTATTGTAGATTTACATTTTAGCATGCATAAGCTTAGTACTTCTTTTATTTTCACAAAATTGGCATACCAATGCTGAAAAGCTGATCAAAATTGAAAGCAAAATTGAAACTCAATTGAAAGGGAAAAATTGAAGCATTTGATTTCAACGCAAAAGTACAATAAAGCGAAATAAACCTTTGCCTCTATTCAGCTGCTTTTATCGTTATACTAGGATCTGTTATATAGTCTGTTCGGCAAGCTGATATTTATTGCAAATTATTAGGTTTTGGCGGTCGCGTACGGTTAACTTGGAGGGGAAGTTGCTAATTCCCGCTGGACAAATTTGCCAGCAACAAAAACAGCTGATCAAAGTCATCTGTTTGCAATATATGAAAAAAATTAAATTAGGTCCATTCAATATCAAAAAATTATTACTAGTACTTGCAAGTTTTTACTGGAAATGCATTGAATAACCCGAAAAATGTGCAAGAAAGAGCGAATTCGAGAGTGTAAAACCCCAAGAGAGCTGCTAATTCTTGCAAGTAAAAATTTTACTAGCAGGAACTTGCAGCTGTCAAAAAGTAAGGTTATGCTTCAAATTCAAATATGTAAACAAACTGTTTAAGATTTGATGAAACAAAATTAGTGAAATGAAAATATGGATGAACAATTTAAATGTAAAGAATATTTTTTTTTTATTTATATGACGATCAAAACTAATTAAATGACTAATCAAAAAGAAAATTGCACGTCAAAACTTATCAATCAGAAAGTGTCAAAATGGCATAAGTTGCAAGTTTTTACTAGTTTTGCGTTCAATAGCTTTTTCTGGTAATTTTCTTTTCCTCTCAATTTTACTCTCTATTTTTCTATTACGCTCTCACTGCAAGTACTTACTGGAAAAGTTTTTGAACGGTCCTATTTAATTGGATGATTTTTAAGTTTAAAATAACTTATTAGAACTGAAAATGTTTCTGAATAAAGCAACTACTCATTTACTTACGTTTGCTCAGCAAATAGCTTTAGGCAGACTTTTAATTTATATTCTCTTCATGTTTTCAGTTTCATGCGTTTGTACGTAAACAAAATTTCGATCAGCTGTTCTAAAAACCTGGAAGTTTTTGCTAATTTTGCGTTCGCGTACTTTTTGGGATATTTTCCAGTTTGAGAGATAATCGTTCGTTACTCTCCTGCAAGTTGCTGCTGGATATTTTTCACTGGAGATCTATTCGAACAGACTAATAGTTTGCATCAAATCTAGCAACGAATAATAATAAATTGACGCTTACAAAATATGTTAGTATTTGGCCGGGCTTTTCCTCCGATTTGTGCCGTGCGCCTTGATGTTATCACTAGGGCTGCCAGATTTTTTTTTTTGCGCGAAATCAGTACCTTACACTTTTTCATGCTATTAAATTCAGTACTTTTCAGTATTCTTTTATTCAAAGCAAAATTTTGAATATAAGTAACAGGAAATACTTTAAAAGCCAGAGTTCTTGTTTTTAACAATACTTTGATAAATAAATAAAATATAGTTCATAAAAAATAAAAATATTATTCATTTTAACATGAGTGTGCACATGTCGTATAAAATACCCTTATATAATTATATAAAATATTTTTAACATTGTTGAATAGCAATAATCAGATCACTTCCTATTTCAGTGTTTAAGTAGTCAAATAATGCTTTACATTTCATTTTAAAATTATTTTAATTTAGAGTTCACTTCCAAAAATTTTAATTAGAAGTCGATTTCTCTCTTTACGCCAGTAAGCAAACTTTATACTTAAGATCCTCTCAGTTGCCCTGAATTTGCATTGACGAAGTTTTTTTTGTAGTAGTAAAAAATTTAAGCTATATATGATAATTTCATAATTTTATATAATTTTTTTTTTTATTGAACATACTTTACAACACAGAGAAAAGGGACTCTACGAATGAAGCCTAATTCAAGGTGTAAATATCCCTTTTCCTTTGTTTTCTCTCAGATTTGTAATATGGTAGTATGCATTTAATTATTTCTGCGATCGGATACTCCACAAACAACGCAAAAGCGAAAGCGATAAGTTGCGTTAGAAAAAATGCAACTATAATCTGACTGATCTGGAATATTAAATAAAGTTGTTATGCTACTAATTTTTAATTTAAATGTTTATGCGGAGTTACCAAATAAAAGCGATTAATATAAATTGGTTGCCTATAGAAACCGCCCGTTAACCTCAGTACGACCAAGTGCCAGAGATATGCCTGATATGAAATTTTTGAAAATATGCGCAGAATTGGAAGACAGCAAAATTCATATGCAACCCCTATAATAAAAAAATTATAAGCAGTTTATTAGATTTACAGATATGTGTACATTAGGGTGCCTCACCAAAATTTTAATAAAATTTATTAAATTTTAAGACTCACGGCAAAATATTTTGAAAAAAATTTAAGATTTACGTGAGCTAGAAAAATAGCTCCAAAACTTTCATTACTTTCATGCCGCTGATACAATGTTTGCATTTATTTTTAAATGGGTCCAGCTCACGTAAATCTTACGATATATAATTTTAAATTCTATCCAGTCATATATGTAAGTGGATGTCGAAAGATCGTTTCACGTCTGCCCAACGTTCTTAAACGACCTTTACTATTTGAGAATGGCCAGCAACACATTTTTTAATTATTGCAAAAAAAAATTGATAAAAAAGTAAACACTCAAATGTACTTAATTTTGTTCGCTGTTTTTCGAGCATAAGTATTTATCAATGTTGGAATTTAGTGGTTATATAATCGCTTAAAATTGCTATTTTTTGCCGAGTTTTTCTGCCCTAATTATAACGGCTGTGTTCAGAAATGCATCAAGCCAAAGCATCAGTGTCTTTTATTTCTAAATTAAAATTGATCGAAATGCCTTATTGGCGCAACTAAGTTCCAATTCGGCATATAACCGTGGTCGCGCTTATCGCTTTCTTTTGATCATAATAAAATTGAGCTGTTTTTGTTTTATTTTGAGTTTGTTATAAATGTTTCCCGATAGCGAGTGTCTTCTCAATAATAATATATGTACGTATGTAGATTTAAGTGAGGAACAAAAAACTTACAACCCAATTTTAGACACATGCCTA